AAATCAGGTTTTAATATGATATAATTATTGATTTTAAATATAGCTTGTATATAATAGTCTCATTTTAATTGGGGCTGACAGTAGACAGAGAACTATTAAAAATTAGGTCTACTAGACAGTCGTTCTTTCCCAGTGTAGGATTCCTCAACAGTGATCACTTATGAATTTATTTGGAATATAGAAACTGAAACCGTTGGATTATGGAATGAGAACATTACAGTTTGTTAAGCTGGTTCACTTTCAGTTGCTGACAGGTTGCTACTTCAGTAGATAGTGCCTTTTTGCATTTAGCTTGTTTAACCTTACTGATATGTCACTTGTCAATTGAACTCCGTAGAATCCACCTGGAATTTAATCATTGAACAATAGCAGATTGAAAATAAGTTGATGGTCTGATGAACTTTGAATCACTGCAATCCCGAATAAAGCATGAATAATAAAGTTTTTACCTTGTATCCTGACGGTTAAGTAAGAGGCTCTGCACTGCGGAAGAGTTTCAAAGTAAGACAAAACACCTATCTAGTGCATTCCGCTTTCAAAGATTCTACCTGAATTCTGTTTGCAAGGGAAAATAAATTAATTTTTAAACGTATTTCCACAGACCCAATATTTGAAATTTTTCAATGTATTTAATTAGCTGCATTGTGTGTGTGTGACATGCAATTCTCTTGGTCAGTGAATAACACTAAATATCACGTTATATATTCACTAGGCTTAACAGTGTCGTGTCCACAAGTTTGCAGCTGTGTTTGCTGTTCAGTACTTGACAGCAATAAACTAGGGATCTTTTCTCTGAGATATATCTGTCACCATGTACAGGCTGTTTTATCTAATTAAAGATGGATGATAAATCTGCTGAAGAAGCTGTGGCTTACACAGCGAAACGTTCAGAAAAATCTTGTTTTGATTTTCTTAACACTCTGGGATTAATTTAAATAATTTATAATGAATCAATCTGACTCGGCGCTCAAATTATTCCAGGAAGTTCGTAACACCTACGGCCTGGAAACTTATAATTTGATATGTAATTCATATAAATTCGATTTTCATCTTTCTTCCTCACTTTTGAATTTAAAATATGAATAAGAAATACATATATAAATGTGGAGTCAGTTCTTCCATATGGGTCAGAAAATTGGCCAGCATGTCACGAAAAGGATCTCCAACAAGGTACCGACTTCTTTCAACTGCTTCCTTCGCTGGCTCCATTCTGAAGGTCAAATGACCCGCCGGTCACAAAGAATTAGCAGCAGGAAACTCTGGGAACAAATCAGCTGAAAACCTGTCGTTCAGCGGTTAGGACGCTCGCCGACCATGCACATGGTCCTGAGTTTGATCCCCGGCCAACGCGCACCTGATATCAGTTGTCGGCCTGCTAAATTTGGGCCATCGATATCACATGCTGAATATCCCATAATTGTACCAAAATACTGTGTGGAATCAAGCTCTAATAAAAAAAATGTAGGAGAAAATGGAGATGGATCAGGCACGCGCCAATGAGGAGGCCGTCCATTGACATCGCGTGCAATGCCATGCCATCGCTTCAGTGGAATCCCAATAGGAAACAACTGGTGGATAGTCGGTGAGAGGGTGACATAGAGGAGATTGTGTGAGTCGGAGGAGGAGAAGATGAGAGATTATGGGGGATCGTGGGCCCAGTTTCGTCTAGAAGAAAAGAGTGAATAAGTAGACATTTTTAAAGGTTACTATTAGCTGTAGAATTCCTAGTAAATGTTTCCTTGAAGTGTACACAGTTATTGCTGAATAAAATTTGAAAACTTATGATTGTGTTATATGTATTTACTGATTATTTTGTTGTTGTTGAGATTATTCGAGAATTTATTGTTAAATTTGTGGTCATATTTCCATTTAGGGAGTAGATAGTAAGAGAAAATAAGTACGCTGTACTAAATTAAGCACTATTAAGATTTTGTAAGAGAAAGATTCATAAAAGTCAAAAATAAAAATAAACAACTTTTATGTAAATGGAGTTGGAATTTTAATTGGAAAGATGTACTGGTCTGTATTAGTTATGACATACGTATATTAGCAGTTCATTACTACAAAAGTAAATTTAAAACTTTTTTATGGATATTGTTATTTGAAAGCTCAGTACCAAATGTAAAAATACCTAAAAGATTGTTAAATTTGATGAGGGTGGATTGGATTTTTAGATCTCATGATTCAGTGGAAAAGGTTCGTACAACTGTTTCATAAAACATTTGTGAACCTGGCTAAAATTTATTAGTCTTTAGCATAACAGACCACCGAAAGTTTCAGAATTGTCAGTAGATACTAATCTTCCAGGAAAAGCAGAAGTCTTAAATGCAATCAAGCTACTGAAGTCAGGGGAGGCAGCAGGATCAGACGGAATTCCCCCTGAAGCACTGAAAATAGATCCAGAGACTGCAAACGATACGCTCACGCCACTAGTGAGAAAACATTTAGAAGGAAGGTTACCTTATCAAACTACCAAAGAAGAGTGACGTACGTCTAGGTAAGAACTGGCGTGGAATCATACTCTTGTCTATGACAAGGAAAGAAATAAGCCGTGACATCCTGGAGACATTAAAAGATGCTCTGAATACAGAACTCTGACGGGAACAGCTGGATTCAGGAAAAGCAAATCACTTTCGGGACAAATTACAACTCTCCGCGTCATCATCAAAAAGAGCATAGAATGGTAGTCAAATCCCTATCTCAATTTCATCGATTCTGAAAAAGCCTTTAACGACGTTGACATTGAAGTAGTTTGGAAAGTGCTTCAACAACATGGATTGCCCCAAACTTTTATCAACCTCATTCAGCAGCTATTTGGTAGTGTTACATGTCAAGAGATCCATAACGGAGAATCCAGAGAAGCGTTTGAAGTGATATTCCTAATTGTGGTGAAATGGATTGTGTGTCAGACGGTGGGGAGCGAGAAGACAGGATTGTGTTGGATCAGTAAGAATACTGTAGAAGATATGAACTTCATGGACGATTTATGTCTAATATCATACAAAACTCGAGGACTTGCAGGATAAAGCCAACCGACTGGCAGAAGAAGCAGCAGCAAGGACAGGATTTCAAGTGAACACAGAGAAGATGAAGATACCCGGCGACCAACAACAACAGCCAGCACCAGTCATTATCAACGGAATAAATTTGAAAGAGGTCACTTATTTCACTTATTTAGGCAGCATCGTTTCAGGCGACAGTATGGACGAAGATGCCGAAACTTGTCAGGATGGGAAAGGCAAGAGAGACATTCATAACTCTGAAATCAGTATTGAAATCTGCTCCACTCAGCATAAAGAACAAGATTCACGATCTTCAACAGTAATGTCAAGTCACTCAGTTCTTCCATATGGGTCAGCAACTTGATGCGTCATGACAAGAGGCATTTATCAACAGATGCCCTCCAGTCTCTGGGGATGAACCACTCAATAGCCTTTTGCTCAACAGATAGGCCAGAGAGAATGAAGATGGACTGGATACACTCTGAAGAGATCATCAAGTGGCATCGCGCGTCAGGTTAGCCCTCGAGTAGAGCCTGAATGGGAGACAAGTTGGGTGTAGATTAGAGGGTAACATGGAGATCATATGAAGTGGAGATGGAATCTCATGGGGAATCGTGGGGCTAGCTAAAGAGGACCGCAGAGAACAGGATGAAGTGAAGATGTGTTGTTGAAGCACACTTGGAACTCAACGGAACGATAATAATAATAATAGAATACGGTCATGATTATGCCTGTATTTAAAAAGAGGCTACATAATATGTGCAGTAAAAATTAGTGTATTAGTCAGTTAAGAATCACTTCTAAAATAGTAGCTGTTAATATAATTAAGAAGCTTTGTACATCATATTAAAAACTTATTAGTGATGAGCAAGTTATTTCGCTGCATATTCAAATACGGTGGTCATGTGTTACTTTATATGAACTCTGATTAGGATTTGACGGAATATTCCCATAAAATATCAGGTACCAAATGAAAAACAATCTACTTACGAATATTGAACTATGCTTCCAATGTGAAACAAGGCTTTTGCAGCACTTGTTAATATTTAGGCCAGAAGTAGGAATCATCTATTTGCTACTGGGGTAAAATCGTTTTAAAAGTACTCAAAAAGTGATTGCAGACTATTTAAACAGTTGTTGATGTCATTCAGTTTCCCAGTAGGAAATGTTTTCATAAGCTCAACATTTTCGTTTGCAGAAATGAAGTTGTATACACCTTAAAATGAGAAAAAAATAATAATAACAAGATATATACTACTGATATATTGTTGTTGGAAAGCATTTTTGTCTACTACTACTACTACTGCTGCTACTACTACTACTACTACTACTAATAATAATAATAATAATAATGTTTACAGCAACAACAACAGACAGCAATCAGCATAATTGGAAGGAACCTGAAAGAAGCAACCTCCATTACCCAGCTGGGAAGCATCGTTTCAACTACAGGCGGAATTGATGAGGATATCAAAGCAAGGTTCGGGAAAGCAAGGCAAGCTTTCGTTACCCTCACCAAGTTTGTGCGGAGATCAACAGCACTCAGCATCAAAAATAAGATCCGGATTTTCAACTCTGATGTGAAATCAGTGCTACTTTATGGATCAGAAACCGATTGTGAAACAAATAAGCAGGAAGAAATGGAGGTGGATTGGCCATAGTCTAAGAAAACCATCAAGTGAGTGATATCACACGTCAGGCCATCGCTCGAGCGGAACCCGAATGGGAAGCGGCGAGTTGGTCGTCAGTGCGTGGGTGACATCTAGGAGGAGCTCATGTGAAGAGGAGATGAAAGCATGTGGTCAGACGTGGATCCAGGTGAAAAGTTTGGCAGAGAACCGAAAGTAATGGAGACGTGCAGCAGAAGTCTTACGTTCCTCTAGGAACTAAAGGAAACAATAATATAATATAATAATACTAATGTTTAATTAAAATTCTTTTTTTAAAAATGACCAACGTAAAATATATATAATGTGTTCTTTATTTTCACTTTAACAGGCATTCTGTTGAGAAAACAAAATGATAAGCACTTCAAATAAACATGATATATTTTTATGCTTATTCTTTGTGGCGATACTACTTAATCAAACGTCCACAAAGGAAATAAACTACAACTCTGATATATTAAATTTACACAATGTTTATACTAAAGAACAATTAACTAGTCAACAGAAACAATTATTAAAGACTATTCATATCCCAGAGATTGATTTTGAAGTAAATGGAGAATTTCCAATCCTTAAAACTTTTGATTTATTTCAAAATGGAGTTGCGAATTCTAAAAACGTTTCAAATTCATTGTTTCGGTCGAAACGAGATGTTTCACGGGATGTAAATGAAATCTCATTAAATGGTAAGTTGGTTTATTTTATTTTTATACTTAGAGAGTTAAGAAATTCTGATATTTTAACCTAATGAATAGGATACTTGTGATGATAAGGAAGATGGGGTTGATGATTTTTCGTGTAGTCGCCACTTTTTTTTATATCATTTACTTTATTTCGAGTATTATTCAGAAAGCCAATGTTCCATTCTCTTCCATTCGAATCTATGAACTATTAAAGATTTGTTGAACATAAAATGTTTAAACTTTCATGCAACATACAATCGACTTATTGCATCGCTTCAAACGTGCGTAGTTCTTATTTTCCAAATTATCTTTAGATATCCCACTAGTATATATATACATATATCTTCATCAGTCAGATCACGTTAATAATAAGATTTTAGAAACCAAATGATACATCAGTTAGTTGGTGGTAACTAGCAGTGGAATCCAGGATGCCCATTTCGTCCTATTTGGGACTCGTCACTGGATGCACCTGCCTTCCCAACGTTAAAGCCTTATCCATTCGTGGACCAAGTGGTCTAGTGGATAACTCTTCGGCGTTTGAAATTATGGGCACTGGGTTTTAGCCTAGGTCGGAACACCATCATTCACTTACTGGGAAAGGCAGCCACATCCAGATGACGAGTCCGGGATGGGACGAAATGAGCATCCAAGATTCTACTGATAGTCACCATCAACCATTTAGCTTCAAGTTACATAAACAGACATCGTTGAAGAATCTGCACAAGGAGCCGACATGTCCACCTGAGACCGAGCACTTCGGTCCAGTCAGTCGACCGGAAAATCTAAAATTTGATTAAACAAATGATACGTCTTTAACCTAAATGTAGGATAACCACTTATTTTAAGATGTTAAGTATAAAATCCACGTGTCCGTGTAAGAAAGCATTTAATATCACTGTTCATAATGGAAGATATACAGCTAGAATGAATGAAAGATGTTTATTCTATGGAAAACATTTGGGGAAATCGACAAGCTAGATGATAAAATTCATTTGCCTTGTAAAAGAAAATAGAAGTCAGATTTAATGAATATTCAACTTATTCTTTTCTATAACTTGTAGTATAGAAATCGAATAGTTTTCTCTTGAGTTAAACAAGAAGTATTTCAAAACAATCATGGCATTAATCTACACACTGATGCTTGATATATATTGTAACAGTTTCTTTTAAAACTTCTGTATACTTTCTATAGTTGGTTTGTAAGGGTTAGTTTTGCTTTTACGAATTAATGAGGGATTGATATCAGTTAGAGAACCATTGAAAACCAGCACTGGAGTACTGCCAGACAGCTATTTCCTCCGTCCTAGTTTGGGAATCATCGGCAGTACGCGTCCACTGGGATTCGAACCCAGGACCTTCCGGTTACAAGGCAAGCTCGTATACCATTCAGCCACTAGGACCCGATTTAATGGCTCATGAATTCTAACTTCTAGCAATTCATGATTTAGCGCGACCCAACCATTATCGTTGGTGGGACATCCATCCACACACGTGACATTTGGATGGATCTCACTGGTAACGACTTCTCACTAGAACTCTGCAGGAAAATCCATCGTGTAGCAAGTCACTATCGAGCATGAGATTAATTTTCTATAGTTGGTTTGTAAGGGTTAGTTTTGTTTTTAACGAGTTGATCACGGATTGTATACTTACTAAAATTCCAGCTCATATTTCGTTACTTATAGAAAGACAGTTGCATTTATTAGACTATGAAGTAAAAATATCTGAAAAATATGTAATGGACTTATATATGAGTACTAATTTCAAGTAAAATTTATTTCAGGATTTCATCATGAACTGATATCGTTTAGAGAACCATTGGAAAACCAGCTGGGAGTACTGGAGAGCTGCTTCGTCCAAGTTTAGGAGGTTAGTTCATGATGAAATCCTGAAACCAATCAAATCAAATCCCTACAAACCAACACTTGAATATCGATGAGATGCTCACTAGCGACTTGCCCTATTCAGGTAGGTAGTTACCTGGGGTTCTAGTGAGAAGTCGTGACCAGTGGAGTACAGCAGGTCGCTGGTGTGAGGACAAATACTCGCCGCCAATGACATTCGTTAGTGGTCACACTATGAATTAGCAGAAGTTGTAATTACTGCACTCGCCATTAGATCGAGTCCCAGTGGCTTAATGGTCTACGAGCTCATCTTGTAACCTGGAGGTTTCGAACCCCAGTGGATGAGAGCTGATGAAGAGTGCCAAACCAGAACGAAACAGCTGTCCAGTATTCCCAGTTTTTCCAATGGTTCTCTAACCGATATTAGATCATGACGAAATCCAGAAACTAATGAAATCCCTGAAAACCAACACTTGAATATCAAATTTATTTATTTTCATCAACTTTCACAAGGTGAAAACTGGGAGAGTTGGGTGGATAATCGAATAAATAAAATACTAAATATTATGAAGCAGAAGTAGATTCAAAATTCTAGGGAAAATATAAGTAAATGTGTCAACGTAATTGCTGTCGATTTCACATTATAAGATTTAGACTGCAGTCGCGGTTTCATGACATGTCAAACATTCTACTGAAATTATTATTATATTATTGTATCCTTTAATTCCTAGAGGAACATAGGGCTTCAGCCGTGCGTCTCCATTGAGTTCGGTTCTCACCTAGAGTCCTCACCTGGCTCCAAGTCTGCCCACACGCTTTCATCTCCTCTTCACATGACCTCCTCCATTTCACCCTTGCACTGACGACCAACTCGCCGCTTCCTCTTCGGGTTCCACTCAAGGGCTTGTCTAGTGATGTCACTTGATGGTTTCCTAAGAGTATGGCCACTATTGATCTCCATTTCTTCCTGCCTATTTGTTGCACAATCAGTTCCTGCTGGGTTGGTTCGCTCATTGCCAGAGATCTCTGTTGCTGATCTTTTCTGGCCGGCCATCTGATCTTGAGTGGTATTGAGCGAAGACAACTGTTAATGAAAGTCTGTAGTTTGCTTGAGATGCTCTTTATGAAGCACTGGCCAAGTCTCTGATCCGTATAGTAGCACTGACTGACTTCACATTGGAGTTGAAAATCCGGATCTAATTTTTGATGCTGAGTGCTGTTGACCTCCACACAGACTTGAGAGTAGTGAAAGCTTGTCTTGCTTTTCTGATTCTTGCTTTGATATCCTCGTCAGTTCCGCCTGTAGTTGAGACGATGCTTCCCAGGTAGGTAAAAGAGGTTGTTTCTTTCACGTTCCTCCCATTTATGCTGGCTGATTGTTGTCTGTTGTTGTTGTTGCTGTTGGTGGTGGTATTGACCAGGAATCTTCATTACCTCTGTTTTCTCTATGTTCACCTGAACTCCTTCCTATCTTCTCTGGACGCTTCTTCTGCCAACTTGTTGCTTTTCGCTTGCATATCTTCCAGTTTGTGGGAAATCAGACATATATGATCGGCGAAGTCCAGATCCTCCAAGTTTTTTGTGTGAGTCCATTTTATGCCTGTTTCCTCATTGCCCGCTGTTTGTCGCAATATCCAACCTACTGCAATCAGGAAAATCATTGGAGATAGTAGGTAGCCAGCTTGTCTTACTCCAGTCCTCACTTCGAAGGATTCCGTAAGTTTCCCGTTGTGGATTACTTGGCATGCAGCATTGTCGTACAGCTGTTGGATGAGATGTCGGTGGCACCCCTTGGTAGTAGCGAAGTAGTTTCCAAATCACCTCTCGATCGACGCTGTCGAAGGCCTTTTCAAAGTCGATTTTTGATTTCAGGTTAACAGAAAATGGTTCTAGCTGAAATACTAACATTTAAAAATTTCCACTGTTATCAACTTGTTAAGACTTCAACAAAAATATCATTGTGGGTAAAATTTATTTTGATAAAGTCTCACAGTGTTTGTTGTACAGTAATATTTACTGATGACCATGTTTCGAGCAAAATTTATTGCTGCTCATAATCATATCAAGGTACTCCTCACACAACCTTCTAACTTCGTTTATATGAGTTCCATTATTTTTCATCGCTTGATTTGATTGGTAGTAATAATTTCCACATTTGTGGTACGATTGATTAATCATTACTGTTGCAAGTGGTGGGTATCGATTCCATGATCAAAGGTTCAACAGTCAACTTCTCTCTCCACCTGTCTATATTACTGTTTTGTATTTTGACTCTGTCTCACACACCCTATTGTGTGGTTGTGTGTTGATGCATGCAGTGCAATCGCTGAGCTTCTTTTCTTCTAAATTACTTATCTTCTTGGGGTCAATCATTCTAACCTTAGCTAAATTCTGACTACCCCCCACTTACTAGTTTGACCTATGCAGTTGACCTCACTCACAGTCATTGCAAGGTATTTTGCAAATTATATTATTTTTCCTGATTGGGTCAACCGACAGGGTGCTTTAACCTACAGAGCTTGTCCTTGACTGAGTGAGTGAGTTTGTAGGTTTAAGTTCCACTTTGATTTCTGATTTATTCAGAATCCTACGTAGGGTTTTAGATATCGCCTTCTGCTATGGTAAAACTGTAGATGCTCTAGATTTTTTCTTATTTATGTTGTCATTATTAGTTTCACCATTATTTTTATTTTGCTTTTGACCTTTTTTGATATTCCTAATGAATTTTATAGGATAGTTATTTAACACCAACGCTTCTTCTATCTGTTTCATTTCATCATTTAGGTTTTTTGTTGTACTACTTAGTTCTATCGCTCGGTTTGTTAGACACTTAACTAAGCCTGCCTTTTCAAACAACGGATGAGATGAATTAAAGTCTAAATATCTATTAGCAGAATGAGTTGGCTTTTAATAAACACTAGTGTGCAGTTTACCTTCTTCTGTTCGTTTTATTTTACAATCTAACATACCTTATTCTCCTTGTTCATTTTCCGACATAAATGTGAATTTTATTCCCTTTACAAGTGAGTTTATATCTGTCAGGAAGCTAGAGATATGTTCTGTTTTTAACACCGCGTGTGAAAGTGTCATCCACATATCTCCACGATATTTTTGGAGTAGGATTAAATGTATTTAGAGCAATCTTTTCGCAGATGTCCACAAAGATATCTTCTACGATAGGGGATATTGATGATCCCATTAGCAATCAAGTAAGCGATGAAAAATAGTGGAATTAAATAAACGAAGTTAGAAAGTTGTGTGAGGAGTACCTTGATATGATTATGAGCAGCAATAAATTGTGCTCGAAACGTGGTCATCAATAAATGTTACTGTATACTACTGTGAGACTTTATCAAAATAAAATAAATTTAATCCACAATCCACAGTGCACAAGTTCTGTTCTTATTTAAACAGAAAGATTCTGTGGTTCTCAAAATTCAGTAAAATGTCTGACGAAATTGCAAATTTAGAGGAACCTCGGAAACCTTACGTAGAATTCTTAACAAGGCAGGAATAAAAGTGGCATTCAAACTCACAAACTCAATTAGAAACAAGCTTTGTCGGTTAAGGGATCCTGTGGAGCCTTTAAAACAAAACAATTTAGTTTATCTAATACCCTGCAATGATTGTCAGATCAAATACATAGGTGAGAGTAGTAGAACAGGGGCAGTCAGACTAGCCGAACATAAAAACCTAGCAGCAAAATCTAGATTGGTTGACCCAAGAATAAGATAAGAATTCTAGAGAATAGTTCAGCTATAGCACTACATGCAATTACACACAACCATACAATAGGATGGGATAGGATGACAGTTTTAAAATCTAATGGAGTGAGGGAGAGATTGATAACAGAAGCTTTGTTTATCGAATCAACTTGAAAATACGTGTCATAGGAATGATTCAACACCTGTCCCAGATATCTGGAAAATTCTGCTACCCCTACGACAAATAGGAAAAGATAAAGAAAACTATAAAACTCAAGTTTCGAAGTTGTGTGATTATAATTGATGAAATGAATATGAACAGCGATAAATTGTGCTTGAAGCGTCATCCAGTAAATAATACTGTTTCACTGTGTGATACATCTAATAAACAAACTAATATGGAATTACTTACTACCACAGTGTCCAAGTTGTACACATGTATTAATAGAGTTTACTTAGCCATTGGTGATGGTATAGTGAGTTATTAGAAAACAAAACATCCTTGAAGTTGATGTGAGGTGCGATTAATTTAATAATCCATTTCTATATCTTTCTGTGCAGTATAAAATCATTAAAGGAATTATTTTCTTTTTAGTTAATCTTCAGTTATGAAAGTATATTACACCTAAATTTAGTGAATCATCAGCACAAGTTTCATCCTTCGATGGCTATTTTTTCGGAGAAGAAATTCTGGCTTCAGAATATTAAATCAGTGTCCAATAGATGTATTGACTTTATTAGAATAATGTAACTTTACACCATCAACATTTCAAAGTGACCTCCTCTTCTGTACATAGTACAAACACACAATTACTCTTCAAACACATTACTACTGAACTAAAAGGGGACCCAAAAGAAACTCAAGTTCAAGATTCTCTTAAGCAAATGATTCTTGGGCTGCATTTAAATAAATCTAATCATATTACATTAAACCCTGCCCATGGAAATTCTGGTGATCAATTTTACTGAACCGAAAGCATTTTGGTTGCACAGCCTTGCTGTCAGTTATTTGGTGTTAGGTAGCAGTGAAATACATGGTGTTTGCTTCATCTTATTTGAGACTCATGTGCTGGTTATTAGATTTGAGAATGGCTTGTTTTGTAGGGATGCATTGGAAATGTCAGTGTCAAATAGGACGAAATGAAAGTCTTGAGCTTCAGTGATAGCCACCAACAGACAAGATATGTCAAGTTTCGATAGAGAAAGAAAGACCAGATTCACAGTATAAAATGATATCATCATTCTCATCAGCTAACTGCAAACCACTACCTGAAAGTACAATGGTTATAAATAATAGCATTTCTTACTTCAATGTTTGATAGGTAATCGAGAAAACATTATAAGATGAACGCATCCAGAATATAAGTATTACAATTTTTAGTTTAAGTTACCATCAATTTATATACTGTCAAACTGTGAGAGAAAAAAGGGAGATGAGAGAAGACAGAAAACAGAGAAATCTAATAAACACTGTTAGCTTTTACGTCAAAATGACAACTCAAGAAGGTTAAAGTTCATCAAATTGAAAACTTGCTCAGTGAGCTGAGCTCACTAATGTGTATGACTAATCAGTGTAATGAAAGTGATACGGTTACCAAGGGAGTGAGAGATTGACTACACTCTCTTTCTGTGTCCGTAAGTTTGGTCTGAGACGTTTGATTGCAAATGCTTCAGCAAATCGTAGTAGATTCGCTGTCCTTTGTATGTTTAATATTGCGAAGGATGTGGAAATCTCGAAAAAATGACCCGTATCCACAAAGTGTCTGGTGACTACACTTTGTAAATATCTGCTTCCTTTCAAGCATAAGTTTCTCGGAATACGCTCTGAAAACCAGATAGAAGCCCTTTTTTCTGTCCTTCCAATGTACTTGCTGCCACAGGTGCACGTAAATTTATAAATGCAGTTGGAGGTAACATCAGTAGGGTACTTATTCAGTTTTTATAGGCTTATAGAGCATGTAGTGCTGTATAGTGTCACCAGCTGCAAATATGGTCTTTCTTTCTCTATCGAAATTAATCAAGGGAACCAAATGTATGAAGTATGTCAAGTTGTTATACCATTCAGATTTCAGATATTGAAGAATAGTAGTCCTTAAGCCCTTATTGATCTTTTTCATTCATTATATAGTAGAGATGCACTCCTGCCTAGAACAAATCGACAGAAGACTTTAGAATGTTGTACACTGTAGAGAAATTCACCGGTTCATAATTTCATGCGAGAAATGAACTTCTAGATGGAGAGGATTTTATTATGGTTTTTGAAATCGAAGGTAATGTCCTAACATGTTTCAGAGGAGAGAAATGAGCAGGATAAATTAGCATCCAATTTCTTGAATAATATATGGGATACTGTTATGAGGTTAACAGTCACTGCATGTGATTTATTCTTCAAAAGTATTCTACAACGTTGATGAATAACAAATAGTTGGGCCATTACATTCCAAAACATTGAATGTTAACATGATCACTTAGTAATCTGACAGCTTATGGTGGTTTAATATACTTATTTGTGAGTGTTTAACTCTAATTAATCCCGGAATTACATGAAGTAACTGTCAAGAATCTCGTAATTTCATCTGATGTTAGTTTATGCCCAACTATCCTGAAAATAACACATAATCACTTTTGACTACTAATATTTATTATAAGTAATATTGTTATCCCCCATCTTTTTTTCTAGATAAACAAACGATAATGATTAAAAGTCGAATTCATTCTCCATTGAAATGGAACGACGAATTAAACGATCCAGAATCAGAGAGTTATAAAATTTTGTCAACCAGCTATTGTGAATTTGTAAGTAATATTTGATATCTATAAAGGAGGCAGATATTTTTCGGTGTCTGGTTGTTTTTATTATACTTTCTGTAGATGACCATCTGGATACTCTGAATTCGGAGTCTAAGCGAATGTCAAAATTAAAACAATTAGTCTCTTTGATAAATTTGAATAAGGCATTAAGAAGACAAATTTCGTCATTTCGTAATTTCTTTACAACCGCTTTACAAATAACATAGTTAACAATAATAAAATAAAGTTCATGACAATTACTCAGTTAAATAAAAAACAAAAGTACATACTAATGACCAATCATATTTAGATAGGTGATGCTGTCCATGGTAGGCGAAGGTTGAAGTCTATTGTTTTTTGTACAAACAGTTTAGGCTGCATGTGATTAATCCAAAGTGCTTCCAACACCTTCAATAACCTTGAATTAGACTTATGTGAAATAATTGTGAAACAGTCATTAATATTGATTTTGTGACCTGACATTAATAATTGTTTTGCAATGGATGATGCTGGATTTCTATTCAGATTACTGGCATTAGGATTTTCTTTATGATTTAGTAGCTATTTTGGGACATGTTCTTTTCGACGACATTGGAACATTCTGTTGGTTCTACCTATATAGGTGTCACCGCAGCTGCAGGTGAACTTGTAGATACAGTTTGAAGTAGAGTCCACAGAATTTCGTCCTTTAATCGTAGGTACAGGGATCGAAAATGTTCGGCAAGTGAGAAAAAGAGATGCGGCGTAGAATTTGCGTTTGATGATTGACCGAAGTCTTTGAGCTGTCAACTGTATTGAAGGTGATGGAAGCACTTTGGATTAATCACATACAGCCTAAACTGTTTGTACAAAAAACAATAGACTTCAACCTTCGCCTACCATGGACAGCATCACCTATCTAAATATGATTGGTCATTAGTATGTACTTTTGTTTTTTATTTAACTGAGTAATTGTCATGAACTTTATTTTATTATTGTTAACTATGTTATTTGTAAAGCGGTTGTAAAGAAATTACGAAATGACGATGTCATCTCGCGAAATTTGTCTTCTTAATGCCTTATTCAGAATGTCAAAAGTTAATCATAATAATAAAATTTAATCTGAAAAATCACTAAAACTATCGTACCATACCACATATTTTGTAATCCAGAATGCGTGTTTCATTCTTATATACTGTTCTTTCCTACAATTAAACTTAATTCTTCTGGAATTGAGTTTATAAACTCAATGATGGATGTCTGAAACTTAGTAGAATGATATTAAAGTGAGAAATTGTCTTCATTAATAGGTAGTCATGAAAAATAATTCCATATTTTCAGTTTTTATATCAAGTATTACTTTATCACATGACTCAATACAGTGAGTAAAAAATGTAAGATGACTTTTTACACCACTAACACTTCCTAGTGAATATTATGAGAATTTTAATATCTAAATATTTGAGGCTCATAACTGAAGTTTACAGTAAACTTGAGATACAATAAAATCCCATCCAGTTGCTGTTATCCACCTATTTAATGCTTTTCAGACTTGACTATGAACCGCGTAATTCAATAAGCTTTAAAATTACCTGTTTTAGTATTTCCGTCTATACAATGCTATAATATTCATAACTACCTTATCACTGTGCTATTTACCTACCTACAGTAGGAATTTTATTTTACCCTCCTTGACATTTTTTATAAATATTTTTACGAGTTGATCACAGATTGATATCAGTTAGAGAACCATTGAAAACCAGGGAGTACTACCAGACAGCTGTTTCATCCTAGTTTGGGAATCATCGGCACCCACCATCACGGTTCTCACCCAGGATCTTCCGGTTACAAAGCGACCTAGCTCGTATACCATTCAGCCACTGGGCCCCAGTTCAATGGCCAGTGCATGAATTCTAACTTCTATTTTTATTAAAGCTAATTTTCCCAACCAAATATATCTGGAACGAAAATTTATTAACTTATAGGCACTCAAATTAGTATGGAACTGAGTCGTTTAGAAAACTTGTATTACTACATTTCTGTGTTCCACTGAAGTCTTATAGAATGGCGTAAGAGACTTATTTTTCACTTGTGGGTTGGCACACTATGTCATGAATTAGCAGAAGTTAGAATTCGTGGGCTAGCCATTGGATAGGGTCCCAGTGGCTTAATGCTGTACGAGCTCGCTTTGTAACCAGTAGCGTCTGGGTTTGAACACCGGAGGGTGCGTACTGCTGAAGAGCCTCAAATCAGAACTAAAGAGCTATCCAGTACTTCCAGGTGGTTTTCCAATGGTTCTCTAACTGATGTCAGCTCATGGTGAAATCCTTCAATCAATCAAACAAAATCCTTACAAAACCAATACTTGAATATTAATGAATCAATAGATGATGGTTGCAGGAAATATGAAAATCTCATTCATAGTAAGATTCGAGCAAATAGCCTTAAGGTGACTGATACCTAAAATGAATGGTAGTTGTTCTTAGTTATCTAGAGATATAAAAGACTGCAAATAGTTTTCTTATAGAACTGGTTCTTATGAAAAGTCATTGTGAATGATCAACTGATATCTGGTCTATGAAATCGAAAGTCTCTGAGCATTTACAAAATATTAATAATTATAATAGCTTTGTTCTGAAAAAGTGCGTTTATACGCAATATAGAATTTCCAGTGACTTTCACTATAAGATATTTACTCTTTGTCCAGAATCTTCAGATGATATAATTATCAATAATATACCATCTGAAGCCATATTGTTCCACTCGAAGCTGCTCTAGTACTACTTCCTCTATTTCCTTCGAAAAAACTCCTAGTGGTAGGCAGAAACTTATTTGAAATAGTGTACAAGTACGAGTTGTGACTAATTGTGGTAATTAGATCATTGGGACAATATGAAATGGAGTAAACAAGATGTATTTTGATGGATAGGAAATTTAGGTAGCCCGGTGATTTAAGCAGGCCGCCATAAAAAAGTCATAACATTAACAAGAGACAGTATACACTTAAAAGTATGAATTATCGGAAAACATAAGAAGAATCACTTGTTTGATGAATCTTTTTACAGTATAGAAAACTTAACAATTCAAAAGCTGAAGGCAATGTTTAGATACAAACCAGTCAGTGATAAGCATTTAAAGGATATTGTTGGATGGTGACTAGCATTGGAATCCAGGACGCACATTTCGTCTTATTTGGGACTTGTCATCTAGATGCCCCTGCATTCCACAGTGAGTGATGGTGTTCCCACCGAGGCTCGAGGACGAAATGTGCATCCTGGATTCCACTGCTAGTCACCATCCCCCAATGAACTTCTAATTACATGCCCAGATATCGTCGAAGCATCTGCAAAAAAAGCCGACATGTCAACTTGAGACCGAGCACTTCGGTCGAATCAGTGGACGAGCAAATCTAAAATTGAATTAAATAATTAAAAGGATAGTTAGTCTCTCTTTAACATTTAGTTTTGCATCACATAAGCCGGCTAGCTGCTTTCAGGAAAAGATAATAGTGACTGACATTAACTGACTTTGAACGAATCAAATGGCTTAAACAAACACTTGACATCTTTCAATTCACATTGTGGGATATTTATTAATCTTTTATATTTTTTTCAAAGGTACTATTTCAAAAGAATGTTTACTGAACAAAGAATATTCTTCTAGATAACCTGCTCTTCATCAGGTTCTGTAGTTATATATACATAATGGTGAATGAATTAGTGCCATTAACAACATTAATACTGTTTAAATAACATCGAATCAGTAATGATATCAATGATGATATCACTTCGATAGCATTCACATAACAAGACACACTGAATATCAGAAAGGCAAATTCGGAAAGGTAACAATACAAATTCATGAATTTATAGTCTCCACTGAATGCCAGCCAACGCAGTAGTAGTGGCTGGACTTGCTTCTTTTTCACACAAAGCACTGGTTGTTCCACGCGAATCGCGATAGCCTCTGTTGTTTGGAGTATGCGTTACCTGGATGTTCTTGGTAATCTCTTTGGTTCCCGGTAGATAATAGAGAGGGATTCCTTAAAGTCGACTGGCTTTGCGGCCAGTTTGGACCAGGGGGTCTCATATGGAACTGTTGATGGTTTTTACTACACCTTTACTTAGCCACACCGGTAGATGTTCCTGAGTAAGCACGAAAAATCAAGTCCCTATTTCAGTCGTTTTTATTTCGAATACTGTCGGTAAATGCAGTGGAAAGAAACTAGTGCACCACTCCCTGAAGCATAGTTCTTCATTAGAACACTGAAATTTGTCATATTCTTGCGTAGATTCCGATGATTAATGGTTCTGAGACATACTGAGTTTTGCTCGGTCATGCATGGAAATTCACTCTAAAGTGGTTAATAATACGATTTTAATATACTCTAAGTTTTTTTTTGTTATCAAAACACCTATTATTTTCTACTTTCAATTCCTCTTCATTCTTTATATTTTAATAGTTATTAGAAAGTTTTCAGCGTACAGATATACAAGAGTTACAACGGCCAAAATGTATATTCTTACAATTTTCCAAAGGTTCTATTTTCTTGAACGCATTAATATCATTTAATCAAGCTATCAATTCATTATTTTCGCCTGAAAATCTAACGAATACACTTATAGATGGCAGCAAAAAATTGGTTGATGCAATAGTTAATGATAAGCAATTTCATTTAGGATTCAGTTTAAGTGGTAATTTTTCATTAACACGTAAGTATACCGTTCTCCTTTTACATTTGGTTATGATACATGTGTAAATGAATAAGTTATATACATTTTTTTTGTTTATAAAATGATTTATGAATTAAACAGTGCAGTATACCCGTTAGATTCAAATGAACTGTCGTCAAGATTTGACAGAATAGTTCTAAAATATTTGGGCGCCGAGTGGGAAGTAGAAATTTTTTCTTCGCTACAATCTTCTGTTTGTCTTTTTTCTTATCATCTAACGGGTCTTTGTAAAAAATTATATTTGTAAAATCTCAGCGAGATTGAAATGAGTAATTCCAACGTTTCGTTCGGCAATCTGGTCCGAACATTATAATTTTGAAAATACGTCTAATCATAAAATTCTAGATACTAACAGTTTGAACAGACATGAAGGCGTGATGTTAAGCGATGCATGAGAAATCCTTATTAATAAATAAAAAATGGATATGTATCACTAATTATTAATACTTTGTTAAAATTCCAGACTGTCCATATCTTCTTATGGAGACGTTAAGAAATGTTTTACAACTGTTTACCCACCCACACACACACATACACACTCTGTTTAAAGTGTTTAACAAGGGTAGACCAATATTTGTAAGTCCGAAGTCAAATTTTGATCACAGCTCATCAAATTTTGTTTATTATACTTGTTGAATGACTCATGATTGGACAAAGTTTTTAACATCAAGTGATTTTCCTTGTATATATAAACCTCTGTTATGTTAATTTCGATTAATTTCCCTGAAGAAGTTCGGACCAGATTGCCGAACGAAACGTTGGAATTACTCTTTTCAATGTCGCTGAGATTTTACAAATATAATTTTTTACAAAGACCCTTTAGATGATAAGTAAAAAGACAAACAGAAGAATACAACGAAGAAAAAATTTCTTCTTTTGACGAAGTCATCAACTAGGATGTGTATTCGAGAATATGTAATAAGGGGGTGATACGCACACACACACACACAGTTCCTTTACGTTCCCAGTGGAACATGGGGCTTGAAGTTTCGGTAACAGTGGTGTTTATTTTTTACTGAATGATGTTGCTAGCATCATGTCCAACTTTCCCTCTTTATGAGTCTTATTATTGGTTGAGTGAGGTAAAGGAGTGCGTCGGTCGCCCGGGATCGAATCCCGAACCACATGAAGCGTGGTAGGCAAGCATTCTACCGGTGTACCACCGACGCACTATACTCTCACCATACACGTCTGAAATAATATGGAAGTTTACCAATGCTTACCATTTATTTTATCAGTAGGTAATAGTAAGAAGCCGAAAAATGTTTAGAATTATATTTCGGTTATTCTAAGTCTACTCACGAACTAACAATTTGCTTGCTATCACAACTACTCATGGTAAAGAAACCTACTTTAGTGCCCCAGACGAATATGACGAAAGCAAAGAAAATTTCCATTGAATCGTTAAACTAAACTTTTTTATAAGTAACTTTCAGGTCAAGAGTGTTCCCTTCATAACTTCAAAAAAGTTCTGATAGTTACTTTTTTCTAAGGTATCGGTGAAAGTAAGTTGACTGATTTCGCTAATACAGACAAGGATTAGCATGTTTTAGGCCCGTAAAAGTTATCAGGAACAATATCACATAGTAAAGTAACGATACTTTGTAATGTACCTCTAGTTACAATTGTGCATGAAGACATCTCAGCTGTCTTCCAGAAAGCATTCTTCATTGCTTTACAGTGCACGCACATTTCAAAATAAATTTGGGTTAGACCACGGATTGATATCAGTTAGACAACCATTGAAAACCAGGGAGTATTGCCAGAAAGCTGTTTCATCCTAGTTTGGGAATCATCGGCAGTACGCACCTACTGGGCTTCAGACCCAGGACGTTCCGGTTGCAAGGCAACCTAGTACACCATTCAGCCACTGGGATCCGATTCAATGGACCATGAGTTATAATTTCTACCAGTTCGTGATTTTAGAGCCACCACCATTCAGTGTCATCGGCGAGAACTCCAACCTCACTCTCGACTGGATGGACCTCAACGGTCACGAAGTCTCACTATAACTCCAGGAAACTCCGTCCTGTAGCAGGTCACTAGCGAGCATCAGTAGGTGCGTACTGCCGACGATTCCCAAACTGGGATGAAACAGCTGGCTGTTCAGTACTCCCTGTGGCTAGTTTTCAATAGTTTTCTAACTGATATCAATCCATGGTCTAACTCGTAAAAGTAGAAAAGATAAAAAGAACTAAGTGTATTTTTAGTGGAAACAATCTATCAGAGAATACACATAGTGTGTGTGTGTCGGTGGCAGAACGGTAAGGTTGCTACCCAACCATGCACATGTTCCGGAGTTCATTCCCCGGCCGACGCATTTCTTTACCTCGCTTAGCCAGCAATAAAAGCTGGTTAAGAGAAAAAGTTGGGTATGAGGCTAGCGACAGCATCCTGTAAAAATAAATACTGCTACAGAAACTCCAAGCCTCTAGCTTGAAGTCCTATGTTCCACTGGGAATGTGAAGGAATAAAAAAATAAAAAAATTAAAAGAAAACATCTCAGCACTCAAATGTGAGAGTTATTATTGGTTTATGCAACAACAAAAAGCGACAATGTTTATAAATGAATATAAGACTAATGAGAAAGGGCCAAAAATGAATAAAGCTGGAGGTACACACTATACAGTTTAAGTTATTCAAAAATTATTTTGACTTTTAGTAACAAAACACCGACTATGTATGTGTTGGCTGATAATATTTTTGCAGAAATTAGTCACCACAATTTTTCCATCTGATCAGACTTGTTGTAGTCCCTTCATGGGTGATGACCTCTACAGATCACTTCAGTAGTAGGACAAGAAATAGACTGCTTAACCACGTTATCCACTGGTGCGTCGGTGGCACAGTGGTTAGGACTCTCGCCGACCATGCACATGGGACGGGATTCGATCCCCTGCCGTCGCACACCCGATATCTATGGTCGGCCTGCAAAATTTGGGCGACCGATATCCATGCTGAAAATGCCATACTTGTACTGAAAATACGGTGTGGCATCAAGCTGTAGTCAAAATAAAAAATAAATAATAAAAAAAGCAACCATGGAATATAAATATGAAAGTAATCACTCTAAAATGCTCTCAATGTCTTTTAATAAATTTAGTTACGAATATCAAAGAAGAATCTACTATACCACCGCCCCCAACCCTACCACCATCTACGTCAGACATAGAATTCAAAACAACAAGTGCCAGTGAACAAACAGAAGCGTCTCCAATGAATACAACGTTCAAACCTCAGTCAGATGGTATGTTCGTTTGCAGTATATTACCGCATATTTCGCTATTCCTTCCTAAATTAAATAATTAATTTTCACAATTTTGCTGATTAATGTATCACAAAACAGTAAAGTTTGCTATATTCGCATTGACATAATTCGACTTCATGCAGCTTAACTGACACCATCATCATCAGTCAGACAGATCAAGTTTTTGTCCCTCATAACCTACAGGAATTTTAGCTACAAGGTTGTTCCTCTTGTTTTCATACAACAGAAACCACTTATTGCAAATCTGCATTTATTTGCTTATAAGTCCATCAGATACTACTCTAAATACAAGTTGTTAATGCTTTGAAGAGAACACAAACTGGAAGATATGCAAGCGAAAAGTAACAATTTGGCAGAAGAAGTATCAAAGATAGGACTTCATGTGAACATAGAGAAAACAGAGGTAATGAAGATTCCTGGACAAGAACAACAACAACAGACAACGATCAGCATAAATGGGAGGAACCTGAAAGAAACAACCTCATTTACCTACCCACCGACCTGGGAAGCATCGCTTCAACTACAGGCGGACGGAACTGGCGAGGATATCAAAGCAGCGAGGATCGGAAAAGCAAGACAAGCTTTCACTACTCTCAAGTCTGTGTGGAGGTCAACATCATTGACCATCAAAAATAAGATCCGGATTTTCAACTCCAATGTGAAGTCAGTGCTACCATAAGTATCAGAGACTTGCACTGCGCGTCATAAAGAGCATCTCAAGCAAATTACAGACCTTCATTAACAGTTGTCTTCGCTCAATACCACTCAAGATCAGATGGTCGGTCAGAAAAGATCAGCAACAGAGATCTCTGGCAATGAGCGAATCAACCCATCAGGAACCGATTGTGAAACAAATATGCAGGAAGAAATGGAGATGGATTGGCTGGCCATACTCTGAGAGACCATCAAGTGACATCACTAGACAAGCCATTGCTCGAGTGGAACCCGAAAGGGAATCGGCGAGTTGGTCGTCAGTGTGAGGGTGACTTGGAGGAGGTCATGTGAAGAGGAGATGAAAGCATGTGGGCAGATTTGGAGCCAGGTGAAGACTCTAGCAGAGAACAGAACGCAAGGGAGACATTTGGCTGAAGCCCTATGTTCCTGTAGGAATTAAAGGATACAATAATCATAATAATTTCTCACATTTCATGTTTTAAAACGTGACATGTATTTCTATTTACGACTTTGGAAGAGGCTAATTTTATCTTAAATAGCTTAGGAATTATTGCCGTGCTAATAATTAGGAGCATTATTTACTTCTCTATCTAACCTATCAATCCGTCATTCACCAGGAAATCATAAAATTACTGGTTGCTTTTTATCTTGGATTACTTACTTACTTCCATGAACGCCCTTTTTCCTATCTCTAATACAAAGATCAAAGCTGTTTTGTTATCACTAAATATTTTTTGTTAAACACAGAAGTTGGGTCATAAACCCACCATATCAAAGTTTATTGAAAGTTCTCTTTTGAAAACCTATAAGAAATTCCACTAACTAGTGTATGGATTAGGGGATTTTTATTCACTAAACAATTTTATCATTGCTTAGGCGTTGTAGATCATAAATCGAAGAAGACATTGCGAAATGGTCGCGCTATGTCGTGAATTGGCAGAAGTTAGATTTCATGCACTGGCCATTGGATCGGGTCCCAGTGGCTCAGTGGTCTACGAGCTCGCCTTGTAACCAGAAGGCCCTGGGTTCGAACCTTGGCGGTGGGTGCGTGCTGATGAAGAGTCTCAAGCTAGGACCAAACAGCTGTCCAGTACTCCCAGGTGGTTTTCCAATGGTTCTCTAACTGATGTCAGCTCATGATGATATTTTCCATGCAATCAAACAAAATCCCTACAAAATCAATACTTGAAAATTTACAATAGTTCCTTTTCTATTTCAGAAATGACATCTCAACCGGAAGATTTAAATACGACCTATGCAACAACTCAACCTGTAACAACTATAGCAACTCCAAATATTCAAATGTTAGGTAAGATGTTTTAAATAGGTGACCGAATGAGGCTAATGAGATGAATACCTATTCTTCAATACAGCCACCAAATTTTCTCTTTTTTCTTGGGATTTCATTTCATAAGACTGAATTATTTAACACAGGGGTAAAAATCACATATCATTAATAGCGTCGTTTGTGGTTAATAGTGAAGTGCATGATACTTTATCTGTTAGCATTGCACACAATTACTGATGACATATACATATTGCAGCTTACCATGCGGAGCACAAAAACGTAGCAAAATCTAGATTAGTTGACCCTAATAAGATAAGAAATCTGGAGAGTAGTTCAGCTATAGCACTACACGCAGTCACACACAACCATACAATAGAATGGGATAAGATAACTGTTTCAAAATCTAATGCAGGCGGATAGAGGGAGAGATTGATAACAAAGGCTTTATTTATCGAATCAACTGCAAACACGTGTAACAGGAATGGTTCAACACCTGTCCCAGACATCTGTAGAATTCTACTACCTCAACGACGACAAATAGGAGAGAATAAAGAAAACTATAAAGCTGAAATTTCAAAGTCGTGTGATTATAATTGGCGATATGATTATGAACAATACTAGATTGTGTTCGATACGTCATCCGGTAAATAATACTGTTTCACTGTGTGATATATCTAATAAAGAAATTACAATGGAATTACATACTATTACAGTGCCCAAGTCTTACACATATATTATCATAATCTTATAAATTTTGGAAAGTCAGGTTATTTTGTAGAGCTGTTTCGTTATCAGTTGCTACTTTTACATTATATATATATATACAAAACATACTGTCGAAAGATAATTGATATTGGTTATGATTAAGTTTGAAATTATCTTCCTGAAAGTGACACAGACAGTACTGAGAAGACATCGGGTTTACCAGTAAGAATAGTCTGTAAATTTGTCAGATTTGTGGTTCAAAACTCTGACAGAATTATATCTCCATAAGACTTACAGTTCAGCTATAAAGGCAAATTAGTCACTAAAGTTATGCATCGGATTGAAAGTCAGGTAGCTAAAGTAATCTTTGGTAAAGAATGTCATGGTAACAATTCCAAGTTACCAAGGTATCGATTTAGCTAGACCTAGAATGATTCACCCTGTTAAGTCATTGCATTGCATTCACTTGCACGTAATGACAAAATAGGGTGGGGCAGAGTGAGAGTATTACAAAGTAATATAGTTAGGTGGAGAGAGAGGTTAATCGATTCAACACCGCACACGCGCAATTGAAATGACGCAACGCCCATACCGAAGATATGGGAAGTGGCTACAAATAACAAAGGGAATTTGGAGAGACAGAATAGGGAGAAAATATATACAAGACAAAATTTGGAACAGTGTGACTAAAATCGACATGATTATGAGCAGTAATTTATGCTCAAAACGTCATCCAGTTGTTTATACTGAATCGCTGTGTGATATTTAAAATAAACTCATCTAATATGGAATTACATTCTACCACAGTGCCCAAGTTCTACACTGACATCATCGATAACTCAGTTACTTCATTCAATATCGAAAAATAATTATAATAATGATTTACTTTATTCCAAAAACAGTACTTGTGATACAGAATGGAATTTTCAGCATTAATCATAATATTGCATCTAATTTCCTCAAATTATAAATAAAATTAATCACATAGAAAATTTTTCTACATTTACGATAGGGTTAATATAAAAAAATAAAAAACATGTAGCATATAAAATGGAAATAATAATAATGATAACAGCTAAGGTAATAATGATAATAATACAAGTGAAAATTTCCATGGGCTTGTTTCACACAGTATTGTCAATGCGGTATACAAATCCTTGCATGATTAAAAATATTGAATATAATGTTCTCTTTACATGATATGGTGAGGGAAAAAACAAAGTTTACAGCAGTCATAGAGATAAGTTGGTGTTTGCAGTTATGAAAGTAAAAACAAAGAATCAACACGACCATAAATATAATAGAAATAATAAAAGTGAAACTTGAAGGTATATAAAGATGGGTGGAGGAGATTGTTTATTTACTAGATGAAAAAAGGTTAGTCAATTCTTGCCTGACGCTATTTTCATCACATAAAATACGTGCCAAGTATGGTATCATAGAATTTTTATACTTAGACGTGCTAGCATACAGTTTCGTGAAGTTACTTCTTGTTCTACCTGAGGAGATGCAAGGTGAAAGCTGAGGGTGAAGTGGATGCTCCAAGTCAGACAAAATCCCTTTAGCAAATTTACTGCACGAAGTCAAGTGCCTATCGACAACGACGTTAACTATGTAGTCCACTGGGACACCACTCACCCTACTGACAGTCTTCAGCATTCTACGAATTGTGACATAGTCCTTTTTAAGCAAACCAGGAAAGAATAAGGGTGAACAATAAACAAGAATAGGTAGGATGCAAGAGTTTATGAACTGTAAGAGGAGGGGTTGAGTTATACCCGAGTGTCTTAACTTCTTCATGTAAAATATCAGGCGGAATATTTTACTGGAGATCGCTGAGATATGGGAAGATCAGGAGAGATCGGAAGAGAGAATAAGTCCAAGATACTTAATTTCTGATTTAATTCCTATATCATTGTCATCAATCTTACAACTGTCATGAAAATCGACGGCTTCTTTTAGCCGTCGTTTACATCTTAAGCTGAAATTAACAGTTTGGCATTTAGAAGGATTCAGTTTAAGACCATTAGACTCAGACCATTTACTGACTCCCGACAGAAGGCTACTTATTTTGGTACAGTCTGGCTGGGAGTTAACAGCCATTGAAACAGTTAAATCATCAGCGTACTTCACAAAGTTTATTTCATCAGACTGAGGCAAGTCATGTAAGAAGGAAGAAAAAAGAAAAGGAGAAAGGACAGCGCCTTGAGGGACACCAGCTTCAGTAGGTAATGAAGTCGAATACTTCCCTTTATATACGGTGTACTGCTTTCTTTCTGAGAAATAAGAATGTAACCAGTTAACAGCCCAACATTCTGTTTGACTTACAGCAAGTTTATTTAACAAGATGTCCCTAGGGACCGAGTCAAAAGCAGATGTATAGTCTAGGAAAGCACAACGAACAAACTTACCCCCCTTGTCCAGAGTGGGAGCAATGTTATGATATAAGACGGCAGCTGCATCTAAAGTGCTTCTACTGTGCTTATAGGCAAACTGTTTTGGGTCATTAAAGGATTTAAGAGAGGGTACAAGACTAAGTAAAAGTAGTTTCTCCATAGTTTTCAAAAAAGGAGAGGTAATAGCAATGGGTCTAAATTTGACACATGCTCCAGTAGACAATTTAGGTATGGGTACAACTTTAATGTCTTTCCAAACAGCAGGCACAGTATTACTGGAAAAAGATTTGTTAAACAGATCAGTGAGAGGGTAACATAGAATATCAGAACACTTTGAAAATAATACTAGATACATGATCTGGACCTAAGCTCTGGGAAGGGTTCAGAGACTTGAGGCACTTGTGAACATCATTTGTGTTAAGACCTGGAAAGGGGCTATTATTAACACTAGTGATACTGGGAAGCATGGAATTTGAGGGAGAATAAATAAAAGATTTATTAAGAGTACATACATCAGAAGAATACGGAATATTGTTTATCTGCTTACCACCAGTGATTTCCTTAAATAGTTTCCACATATTTGAAGCATTTTTGCAGGATATGAATTTCTGGTTATATATAACATTCAACCTCTGCATTTCAGACTTGATAAGGAAGTTAGTTCTTTTTATGCCACTTTTATCTTTCATCTTATATAGCTTTTCCTTCTCTCTACGAAGCTTTTTAAGTTGAGGGGAGGAGAAACGGTCGAATTTGACGAATAGTATTTCATTTGGGCAGAAGATTTCAAAACAGAATTTCAGATAAGATGTAATATTAGAGATAGTGTCACCAAGTGAATCATCATTAAACAGATCCCATCTTGTGTCACTGAGCATGTTTCTAAGATGTTGTACATTCTCATTTGAGTGACATCTGTGAACAACTTTCTTGGACAAGTTAGAGAAGGCTTTTTTGTGTAACTTTCCGTAAACTTTGGGTAGAACTTGTACAATACAGTGATCAGAGTTTGAGAGTGGAGCTCTTTTACGAGCTTCGTATATTCCAGAATCATTTATGAGTACTAAATCAAGCGAAGTATCTTGTCGAGTTGGGAAGTTAACCACATTTGCATGACCCAGCAATGTAATAAAACTGTAGTCACTGGAGTTGAAGTCACCAGTTACTACAGACATGGAGTTACCAAACGAAGCAGCAGCAAAAATAGTGAATTCGTCAGCAAACATCGATAGTTCTGAGGGACTGCAAGAATGTGTGACATAGATATTTGTGACAAGAATGCAGTGATACTTAGATAAGTGTTTAGGTCGGCATTTAACAGTTATACAATCAATGTGGTCATTTGAGAATTTGAAGTAGACGTTGTTGGCAACACCTTCACCTCTCTTCTTCTTTGAGCTGCATCGGTCTTGTCTGTACATTGTGAAATCACGTAAAGAGACTAAATTATCGTCATATGAATCGTGCAGCCAAGTTTCTTGAAGAGTAATTACAGCAGTATTACAATATACATTTGAGTATAATAGAGAGTGCAAGTAATTTATCTTGTTTGGTAGAGATCTGCAACTTGTGATCATAATCACAGGAACAGTCATCAAATGCATTGGAGTACGCTTTAAAGCCCGTTGCCATCCACCATGAAGCGTTTTTCTTAAGTTTATTAGAAATTAGTAAATCAGCCGGTTGGAAACGTTTTAAATAATCGCGAGAGTAAACAATGCGATTAGGACAAATAATTGAATGATTAAAATAAAATAAATACGAGGAAATAGATGGAATATATAGGATGGAAAATTTGGTAGCCCAAGGTTTAAGCAGGCCTCATCATCGACAAAGCACATTATTATCAGATCTAGTGATACTTTTACTACAGGGTACTTTGAACATTACAACAAAATATCCTCACAGTAATCATACAAAGGTACTAACATTTGAATACCAAGTATTACAGACAACTTTTTTTCATACTGAGTGTTTTTAGGAAAATGATAGTGTATCATTTTCTTTTACTTGTTCTGAACTGGCCTCTTGAATTAGGACAATGCCATAGTTTGGCTAATAATTTTACAGATATTATACACTGTCGTGTGATTTCACTTCTGGGAAGTGTCGCTGACAGCCAGAAATTTTATGTTAGGGTGAATGTATTCCCTTCCTGTCTTAATATGCCTTGTTATGTACGAGAATGTATTGTCTTATATTAATTAGTATCTCACTCTATAACAATTGAGTTTGCTACAGGATATTCATCATGAGCTGATATTAGTTAGAGAACCATTGGAAAACCTAGGAGTACTGGACGACCGTTTCGTCCTGGTTTGGGACTCTTCATCAGTACGCACCCACCGGGACTCGAACCCAGTCCAGTACTACCAGGTTTTCCAATGGGTCTCTAACTAATATCAGCTCATGATGGAAATCCTGTAACCAATCAACCAAATCCCTACAAACCAACACCTGAATATCAATGAGATGCTCACTAGCGACTTTCCCTATTCAGGTAGGTAGCTACCTGGGGTTCTAGTGAGAAGTCATGACCAGTAGGGTGCAGCAGGTCGGGTGTGGGGACAAATACTCGCCGAATACATTGGCTAGGTGTCGCGCTATATCGTGAATTGGCAGAAGTTAGATTTCATGCACTGGCCATTGGATCGGGTCCCAGTGGCTTAATGGTCTACGAGCTCGCCTTGTAAGCAGAAGGTCCTGGGTTCGAACCTTGGCGGTGGGTGCGTACTTCTGAAGAGTTCCAAACTAGGACGAAACAGTTGTCCAGTACTCTCAGGTGGTTTTCCAGTGGTTCTCTAACTGATGTCAGCTCATGATGAAAATCCTGTAGCCAATCAAATCCCTACAAACCAACCCTTGAATTGAGTTTATTCTTTACTGATAAATAAAACACCAAGAATTAAACTGCTAAAAATTGTAATGGTTTGAAGAAGTCTCAGATTTGACTGAAAAGAGTATTCATCGTTTCTACAATTTCCCCAATGAAACTAACGAGGATAATAATTTCTAGGCTGGTTTTATTTTAAATGTTTATTACTTTCGTAAATACCCCACATCTGATAATAATTATAACTACAGTTATGTAGTAAACGAAAAAAAATTGATTTTCGTTACAGCGGTCGGCTTCGAACTTGTCAAAGGAGATGAAGAACTACAATGGGATGAAAGCTTGAATGATGTCGACTCTGAAATTTACCAAAATTTATCTAAAAGTGTTTGTGATATGGTAAGTTAAGTAATGTGACTGTTAAAATCTATGTATCGCTGAAATTAGCTGGCTGTTTATTTGATCATTAAGATCAAATTAATAAAATTACAAAGTGTAATAAACACGAAGATCGGATAGAGGATGTAGTAAGGTAGATAGGTTGCAGAGTTATCCTAGAAATATTTCAGGTCAAAGGTCAAATTAGTAAAATTACAATTGGGAATTAAAATGTCATAATAAACAAGGGGGATGGATAAAACTCAAACAAAGTAGCATCATAATTACTGAGAAGATTGACATATTGTGCAATTAGGGGCTATAAATGTAGACATAACAAAACAGACAGGATGGTTGGATAAAAAATTTAGTGGGATCATAACTAATGTGACGAATAATTGTTTATGCGATTAGGGATTAAATATGTAGTAGTAAAGGAATTACCTGTGAATTAATAGCGACTATCCCATTACCTTTCTTATCCAAACTTCCAGTTTATCGCTATTTTCACTACCATAATTCCATATCCAAACTTCCTGCCTATTTAGTCATTTTATTATTTCTACATATTTAATCCCTAATCGTATAAACAATTATTCGTCACATTAGTTATGATCCCACTAGATCTTCTCAGTAATTATGATGCCAACAGATGCCGGTGTAAGACTACTAACTTCGTCTATAGCTAAACATCTAATCGAGATGAACCATAAGGTTGATGTTAACTCAGCCTTTAAGGTCATCTATAAAAGCGGTCAAGGACGTTTACTGGAATACGCTGAGGCTATAGCCATTCATAACTTATGCCCCCTTGTGTATTCAAAAACAGTTTATTATTACTCTTAACCTACCTTGGTAATTCTTATTTGATTGGATTACCAAACGTTGTGTTAATCATTCTTAAATCTTTTTTGTCACTTTGTTTAATTTAACTTTTTCATATATATATCGACTTGACAAGTAAATGTGTGATCAGATTGTTCGAAATGTATAGCACAAATACATCACGTTGTTTTTCAGATAATCTCCGTCTTCTAATAATGCTATCAAAATTTATAAAAGGGACTAACTGTTTTAAATTATGATGCTACTTTGTTTGAGTTTTATCCGTCCCCCTTGTTTATTATGACATTTTAATTCTCAATTTCAATTGCATTAATTTAACCCTTAACCGGAAATTATTCTGGAACTTTCCCACCCATTTATTATGTAATTTTACTAATTTGACTTTTGACCAGAAATATTTCTACAACCTATTTACCTTACTACATCCTCTATCCGATCTTCGTGTTTATTACACTTAGTAATTTTATTAATTTGATCATTAAGACTAAACCCGAATAATATTAGTGACTTATTGATCGAACCAGTTGATACTGTAGTCCATTGATGGTTGTTCACAGAAAAAAATATAATCGTCTGAAATAATATTAGAAAATTTTGTAAACTGCTCGATGTTCAGCAGATGTAGGATGTAATATCGATGTTTCTCTTAACAGAATTAGCTTCAGAAAATAAATCAGAAGTCAAGCAGCAGAATCACTGGTTCGAAAATTGTAATAGCTTAGATCTTTCCTCAGCCTTATTTCTGATGACAGCATAAGTTTACTATCTAGTGTTTTTTCAACGGCTTGATGTCGGTGAGACAGAAGTAAGAAGGAATTACGAATCGGATGTGAAAAAATATATTCAGTTGTTGGTTTGTAGGGATTTGATTGGTTACATAATTTTCATCATGAGCTGACATTAGTTAGAGAACCATTGGAAAACCTGGGATTACTGGACAGCTGTTTCGTCCTAGCTTGGGACTCTTCATCAGTACGCATCCACCGGGGTTCACACCCAGGACCTTCTGGTTACAAGGCGAGCTCGTATACCATTAAGCCACTGGGACCTGATCCAATGGCCCATGAATTCTAACTTCTGCCAATTCACGACATAGCGCGACCGCTAGCCAATGTCTTCAGCCAGTATTTGTCGGATTCATTGTGATGGTTAAGAACCTAAAAGGAAGTACAACTACTAATCCAGTGCCAGGGAATTTAGTGAGATGTGTTGCATTAACTGAGTACTACACTGTATTGTATTATATTTTGAGATCTAATATTATTGCCATATAAATGAACTTAATCTGACAAAATTCTATTCCAACTTAGTAACTTTGTGTTTGGAAATCAAACCTTCACACAATTAACAAGTCATTAAACCCAGAAAGTTCAGTGATAACGTCTCTGACTGAAGCAGAGTGGATGATGCCACTTCAGGTTTCGGAGGAGGTAACACTTCCTTTGAGGTTGCAGATACATCTGACTGACAAGTGGCAAAAAGTAGGAAACCTAGGTCCAGGCATTCCTGTCAATCGCCTCCAATCACGTAAACTCAGTTCACGTATGCACTAGACACAATATTACAGTGGTCGGAGAAAGCTGCTTTTTTTTTGACTCATAAATAGTATTTCAAGTGTTGGTTTGTAGGGATTTGATTGGTTACAGGATTTTCATCATGAGCTGACATCAGTTAGAGAACCATTGGAAAACCTGGGAGTACTGGACAGCTGTTTCGTCCTAGTTTGGGACTGTTCACAGTACGCACCCACCGGGATTCGAACTTCGTTTACATTAATCATGAGGTCCATAAATCATAAATCATTCATAAATCAATTCTTCTTCAGTAAGTAGTATAATTTTGTTACATATTAATAAAACACTAGTTATTATTTAATCATCAGGACACTTTATACCAGTCCTCTCACGCAGCTAAATAATATCTGTTGTAAACTTGACATAGCTTCCGCTGCTATAGCGGTAAATCTTTGTAACTGCTATATGAAGGACAGCATTTGACTTACATCAAATTAAGTCTGTTCATAAAAACAAAGTTTCGAAAGTAATATAAAACTACCATCAATTCTGTCATCTTGATGTTATCTGTTTTGCACATGAAAGTAAACGACTTCAAATGCTTCTTCAAAAGTACCTGTCATGTAATACAAGTTACGAAGTACTATATTAGTATGTTTGGTAAAATAAATAGATAAAGGCCATCCACCTACTATTATCCTAAAGTGAGATGATTATATCAGGGCACAAGGTAATAAATGGCTGTCGATTTCTGAAAAATTTACTGTACATAAATCTTATTAATCTTCTGCCTGTAGCAGACCTCAGTAGTTCAAGTTGTTGCGCTATCAAAATATGGTTGAGAGATTTTCCTCTACACTTTAATCTGAGGATAGATAACTGATGTGATTGAGTGGACTATGATGCAGATTGGGACGGCACTAAAAAGAGTTAAGCACCTATAATGAACAGCACATACGAGTGTTCTATGAGCTTCTCTCTAAACTATATTTTAATGTAACAATCCTCTTCTCAGGCGTGAGGCTAGAAACCCCACCCTGTAAACAAAGCTGCTACAGAAACTTCAGCACGATAATATAATAATGAGCTGCAGCAATGTCAGCAATATCTATCTATCTATCTATCTATCTATCTATCTATCTATCTATCTATCTATCTGTCTATCTACCCATTTATCTATCTATCTATCTATCTATCTATCTATCTATACATATATAATTTCTACAAAATCACCCGAAGTCAACCAGAAAACAACTTATTCTGACTGATTGGATGAGTTATCAAACTGTCCAGTTAAATTACCCAGCAGGCATGAGAATTTCTGAAGCAAAATCGACCTCATCAGCTGATGGTGATTTCAATTTCAACCATTTCCTATCAAAAATCTCATAGATGGATATGGTCAGCATAATTTGGAAATCAGTAGTTTCATGTGGTCTGGCTTGATAATCACAAAACCTAATTTAATCTTACTTGTGAGTGTAGGCATAGACAATTGAATAATTTCATCCTTAGAAGAAAAATAAAACAGTTAGCTAGGGGGGGCTGCTTGAATTTTACTTGTTCCCTCTTGCTAATATCAGTCTGTGACGCAAAGTTTCTTGAAATCGACACATTTCTACCAAAATCTTTTTAATAAGAACAATTTTTTACTTGATTTTGTATTTTGTTTTGATAATTTTGTGGGAACAAATAATACAGTGCTTAAACTATGTTTACAATTACTAGGTCCTAACAAGTTTAAATGCTGCAAGCTTGGACAACTGGCGTGCAGAATGTGTATCGGTTAACTTCACTAAAGGTTCAGTAGTAGCCAATGTCACTTTATTGTTTATACAAGAAACCACTTCAACTGATGCAATTCAATTAAATTCTACGCTCACAGAGATTGTAGCCGATGCAATTGTGACTTTTGCAAACACTACAAACACTACTACTGGCTTAGGTATTAATCTAGAAAGCAGTGTTGTTATAAGTAAGTTAAACTTTATTGATTAATATATCCTACTTTTAGTAGATAAATGACAGCTGTAGAATATACCATTAAGCTTACATTACTTTTACTTAAGTTTTTAGTTAAAATTTCATTCAGTAATGGAATTATTGAGAATGGTTTTATCAAAATGAATATAATATTTGAGTGATAATACTTTTGTTTTAAGATTTAATCCACTGCATGTTAGTGAGTGACTTTATTTAAGCAGACTTGCTGGAGTTCTAATGAGACATTATGACTAGTAAAATCCACCAAGTTGAGTGTGAGGACAGAAACTAACTGAAGTTATTGGATGGGGAAGTCACTAAATCAGGAAATGATAGTTTTTTTTAACCTAACTAATTACTCTTATTACGAATTACATCTAAAATAATTCGATTTACATTCATTTTCTCATGTTATTCAATTTTATTTATCTGGCACTAAATGAAGGTTACTATATGACAATGCCACGTGTCAGGTGATCCAAAACGGATAGCTCAGCAGGTGTTCGAAGTGAATACAGGAGTGAGACAAAGCTACCTATTATCACCACGGATGATATTCCTAATTGTGGTGGACTGGATTATGTGACACAATGTAAGTGGGAAGTGAGGAGACAGGAATGCGCTGCACCACCGATAAGAAGACTCTAGAAGATCTGGATTTCGCATGTGGATGATTTATGCCTAATGTCACACAAACTCGAAGACTTACAGGTAGGCTGCACTCCGCCTCAGCATAAACAACAAGATTCGAATTCTTTTCAACACAGATGTGAAATCAGTCAGTCAGTCAGTTATTCTATGTGGGTCAGAAACGTGCATTGCGTGTGGGTCACGAACAGGTTTTTCAAAAGCCTGTTGCAGACTTCTATCAGCAGCTGCTTTCGCTGGCTCCATATTGAAGAACAAATGGCCAGCCAGCTGGCCAGAGAGAATTAGCAACAAGAAACTCTGTCTGGATGAACAAACCAACCGAGCAAGAGCCAATTGTTCAACAAATATGTAGGAGAAAATGGAGATGGATGGATCGGGCATACATTGAGGAGACCGTCGAATGCCATCGCGTGCAATGCAGGCCACCACTCGAGTGGAATCCAAATGAGAAGTGACGAGTGGGTCGTCGGTGAGAGGGTGATGTAGAGAAGATCGTTTGAGTTGAAACAGGAGGCGGTGAGAGATTATGGTCAATCGTGTACCTAGGTGAAGAGGACAGCAGAAAATAGAAGAAAGTGGAGATGTACTGCTGAAGCCCTACATTCCACTCAGAACCCAAGGGGGTAATCAAATGAAGGTAGCTGCTCCATCACTAGTTGTGTTAAATGCATACCATATCATGAAACAAGTACTCATGTTTTTACTATGTAGTAAGATAAAAGTCTAAGTTAAAACCCCACGTACGTTTTGAATAGTTATCTGTACGAATATTAATTAATATTTGATGTGACAGCTTTGATAATAAATCACTTTACGAGCTGAAATATATCCTTATTTTTGGTAATGATAACCTTATTTATCTTTCTATTTCTTTTTAAGCACCTATTGCTATTGTACCAGAAATCATTGTTACAGAACCTCAAACATTTTATTCAACAGACACAGAGATTTCTACAGAATCATACACGCAGCTTTACACTGATGCCTATGACAGCAGTTCATATACTACAATGACTGTTGGAGTTAGTAGTTCAGAATCGGTGTCGCTGACATCACTGCCAGTAAATGAAACAGATGAGTATGGAACAGAAGTGACAACATTGTGTAAGTTATTTTCTGTAATTTATTCCAGTTCATAATGACGACAGCATTCAAATACTCCTTTGATTATGTAATTGAATTTTTTTCTTGGCTTTCTGATTTTTTAGTGAAAATATGTATTTGTTTTTTTCTAGTAATAGCTATTACTACTTTTTTTTAACTTTGTAGCCCAAACAGCTTAGAAAAAGTCTAACTAGCAACAACACTGAGGGACTCAGATTTGGATCGCTTAGAGTTTGTAAATACGCTTTTCTAGCAAATAAATTCACAGAAGCATGAAGTGTAAAGCATGTAAAAGTTAATGGCAATTACATATGCTAACGTAATAACATAATTTAGTTTGAAGAGAATCCAAATTAATTAATCCAATAATCATATTATCAGTTATAAAATTTTTATCATCAGATAGTTTCACCGAGAGTTTGCTTAGGTAGTCTGATTTGTTCATCAAGACAATCCCGGAGCCTTTATCTGGCCGTGTCTTGATCAAGTTTTCATTATCCTTCAGTTCTTTCAGCTGCTTTCACTGTTCTTTGGAAAGTACGTTACGAAAGCTGGGTTGTTTGTTGATGTAATCGAGACAGCAATTTAAAACGGTTGATTTGAAAAGGTCTGCATTGTCATATGAGGTTGGGACCAGATCTTTCGTCTGGTCGATTAAATTCTCGAATTGGACTTTCGTGTTCAGTTCATTCACTTTTGACGTTGCATCACAAAACTTAGGTCCAAGTGCTAAGATTTGCATTTGAATTGGAGATAGTGGAACATCAGAATAAGTGAACACGTATTTTTCTGGACAAGAAGGAAAGGCGGTTTCTTTGGTAACGGACTTAAGGCTTTGGTTTAGTTTCATTATGACATCATCAGTTCTTTTCTTTATAACCGTATTGGAGTAGTTTTCGAATGATTTTCTTTCATCTTTAGATAAACTCCTACGTTCTCTAGGAGTTTTAAATTGCTGTCTCGATTACATCAACAAACAACCCAGCTTTCGTAACGTACTTTCCATAGAACATTGAAAGCAACTGAAAGAAGTGAAGGACAATGAAAACTTGATCAAGACATGGCCAGATAAAGGCTCCGGGATTGTCTTGATGAACAAATCAGACTACCTAAGTTATAAAATTCTTAAAATAATCCCAAGCATGTTTAAGAAATCAGGATAAAATATGATTTTGATTTTCTAAGCATGCTGGTATTACCTTAAATAATTTTTCAATGATTCAGTCTCACACGGTGTAAATTGCAAGAGCAATAATTAAACTAAGACTGTGATAACGGAATAGGAAATGAAACCTGGGTTATGGCTGAACCCAAATTATTGGCTTTCAGTTTCTCATCAGATTACGAATTTTACTGTTATCCAATTATTAAATATTCGTAGACTCGTTCAGTCAGCCCGTATCTGTAAAGTTACTGTTTAGTCAAAAGACAGCTAGGGAGGAAAATTGTTTTCAGTAACGTCTCACATATGGTCTACATTTATAAATACTTTGATGTTAGCATAAAATGACCAGTAAAGGTAGACTAAAATTGAATTATAAGCTATGTTGTTGTATAAATATGAGATGGAAAAATAGATGGAAAAATAACTGACTTCATTTAGAGAACCACTGAAAACCACCAGTGAGTTCCTGTTTGAAACTCTTCATTATTATGCACCCATGACCCCACTAGTGATTGAATCCAAGACCTTCTGTTTTCGGGGCAAGCTTGTTGATCTATCAGCCGTTAAGATGGAATGCAACGGTCCATCGATTCTAACTTCTGCCGATTTGTGATATATAGCGTGACTTCTAGCTAGTAATATCAACTAAAACAAATTGATTGGTCCTCAAGATTTAATTTTTGAGAAGACTTGTTGAGTCATTTTGTACATAGTTGATCAGAAAAACCATTTGATGTTGACTTTTTACTTTGCATTCAAGATGTACTGCGTGTGTAGGCAATGTTGAGTAAAATGCTTTTGATAAATTGGGTATGTGGTATTACTGTTAGTGTTCAGAAGTGTACACTGTAACTTCTTGGTGTCCCTGAGAGTGATGAAAATTGAAAAATTCTCTTAGAGTTAGAAGAAGATATTATCGATTTTTCTTTCCTACCCTGGGCATAACTTCGTAGAGAAGCTGGATACACTTACCAATTAGAAGTTCTAGTTCTAACACAGAGAGCTAATTTACTAAAGATATTAAAGTCATACTCATGATAAATGTCCAGCGAATGTATCAAGGCTCTGATCCTGATTATTGTGATGAAAAAACCTAAGAAGGATTAACATTCACGATCGTAGTTTCTAGTGTACTCGGTGGATGTTTAAGTATTTTCCATTAGCGTGAATTCTGTTCCATATAAATCAAGGCACTGTTTAAATCATTACTGCCAATAGGTCGTCATTAACACATCTGTTGAAGCATAAAACTAAATAAAACTGCCCTCAGTTTGCAGTGAGGATGAATTTCTATATTACAGAAGTTTTACTGATGCGCTTATTGCTACTATGTTTGTACCAGAAGCTCCTTGAGATTTGATTCCCTTCGTTAAAGAAAATCGCAGTTTAGTATAATGGTAAAAACGCGATTTAAATATTTCTTTTTCTGGCATTCTTTAGAATTCCTTCCGGTCTGTCTTAGTTTGATGACACGAGACCGGAACAATAGATTTTCATTTTCTTAGTTTAAAATTCCAGATTCCCTTCATTACATCTTCTCTTTGAAATTCTATCAGGTGATTTGAAGAGAGTATACTCTGTAAAATTTGCTCTGGATAACGATGATGGACTGTTATTACTGAGGCTATTGTTAAGAATTCATGATTGTTAATTATTTAATCGCACGTGCTAGATTTTCTCATGAACTGACATCAGTTAGGGAGATCATTGAACACCAGAGAGCACTGAATGGCCATCGCGTCTTATTGTAGAGCTCTTAAGTAGTGCGTGCCCACGACCCCATCGTAAGAGGTCAAACCCTGAAACTTCTGGTTATGAAATCATGCTCGTTGGTCTTCCTTGCATCCAAGCTGAAATTTTGTGATCCTTGGAATTTAATTTTGTCAACTCATGATATACTGCTACCCTTACCAATTGCTCCGATGAGCATTCATTTCACCTTAACATGGTCGACCCCACTGGTTACGACTTCCCACTACAGCTTCAGGACATGCATTAATGACTTGGAGATTGATAATTAGATGGTGTTGAAATGATAAGCCTTTTTACCAACATTTTTCAACAAGGATAAGAAGTTTAACAATCATTTACATTGGTATGCGTAGATGACAGTAAATATCTTAATGTCGAATATCTTTTTCATTCGCTATATTTACAATCCTTATATTTCATAATCTTATGTGTAAACTCTATTTGATCCCCTTATGAAAAGATTATATTTACAAGTAAATTTTAGAAAGAATTATTTTGTACGCGTATTCTGTTTGAAGTTATGAACTTCAGAAAATGTGTAGTACAGGTGTCTTTCAGAAAGCATTCTTCATTGCTTTACAGTGCACACACATTTCAAAATAAATTTAGGTTAGACAACAGATTGATATCAGTTAGAGAACCATTGAAAACCAGGGAGTACTGGGCAGCTGTTTTGTCCTAGTTTGTGAATCATCGGCAGTACGCACCCACTGGGTTTCAGACTCAGGACCTTCCGGTTAAAAGGCAAACTAGTACACCATTAAGCCAATGGGACCCGATTCAATGGAACATGAATTCTAATTTCTACCAATTCATAATTTTAGGGCCACCAACATTCAGTGTCATTGGTGAGAACTCCAACCTCACTTGCGACTGGATGGACCCCACTGGTCACGACTTCTTACTAGAACTCCAGTGGCTGAATGGCATACAAGCTTGCTTTGTTACTGAAAGGTCATCGGTTGTAAACCCAGTGGGTGCTCACTGCTGATGAGCCCCGAACTAGGACCAAATAGCTGTTTTCAGTGGTTGTCTAGCTGATATCAGTCTGCGGTTTAACCTTAAACAAATAGAGAATCCTTACAAACCAATTCATGAATGTATATATATATATTATGCATTACCACTCATTTTCCTTAAATTCGTCGCTGATTTCACTTGTCCTTGTAATATGAAATTGAACACTCATCTATGTACACTATAAGGTTTACTATTTTTTTTAAATTTTCAGTGACTAGTAATGAAGAATTTGGGCATACTTCACCGTCCTACAGTGAAACCGATACTGAGATACCACAAATCACATATATGTTGGGTATGTACCAATAATAATGAATGCTATTTTAAGCTATTGACGAATGTTTATATTTCATGGGTTGTTTCTTTTAATAGCTGATTGTGATTAACTTTAAATTCTAATAGTCTTAAATGAGATTTGTGTCATTTTACAGTAGTTATCTTCTAGTAAATCAATGATTCGATGGTGGAATGCTCGCCAACCACGCCTCATGTGGTCCTGGGTTCGAACCTGAGTTACAAATCTTCTCTATTATATTTTTAACATGCTACTTATTTCCAGCATATAGTCCATGAGACTTAGATTTCCAGCATGTTTATGTTATTTTTCCTGAAATAATAAAGGCACTCACTATACACACTTGCAACGGATGCAAAAATAAATGAAGTTTAAAGATATCGTAGATTGGATTGAGTTTAAAATCGATAAAATGAAAGTTATTAAATTCGTTTTCTACAGACTGAGTAATGAAAAGTAACTGTTATCTAGTTGTTGGTTCTACGTGTTGTACTTTATGCGCTAAATTATCGATTTGGCTGATACTTACAATATTTTCATCTTCATTTCGAAGTTAAATTCAAGCCTGAAACTTAACTTACTGGTTCTGTTTGGCTATTATTCAATACAAATGCAAATTACTAGTTTGTAAAATCTGTATTAGTTGTTTTTAGTATTGCTCTTTGTGTGTGTTTTGAGGTTAAATATTTGATATTCAGTATTCAATCAGTAGACTTACCAACTTTGGCTGTAATTACTTCATGAAGTGGTGTAGGATTTTTGACATCACATGAATGTTTATACAGAATACTTGACGATACTGAAGATTATTGAAATGCTAATGAAGCATTTGTCTATTGTGTTTTGGGTCTCAGTTGTTGACTAGTATACGAGCTTGCCTTGTAACCGGAAGGTCCTGGGTTCGAATCCCAGTGGGTGCGTACTGCCGACGATTCCCAAACTAAGATGAAACAGTACCCACTGCTTTTGTGCGTCGTTGGCACATTGGTTAGGACTCTCGCTGACCATGCACATGGTCCGGGGTTCGACCCCCTGCCGACGCACACCCGATATTTATGGTCGGCCTGCAAAATGTGGGCTACCGATATCCGTGCTGAAAATTCCATACTTGTACTGAAAGTACGGTGTGGCATCAAGCTGTAATCAAAAAAAGAGGCATATAACATCCTACATTCAGTTCGTAAACCAGTATCCTAATCTGCATTAGTAGAAAATAACTGACTCCTGAGAAGCTTTCCACTGACACAGTTCAAACAGTAGTGAATATTTGTTGTTCAGACGTTAAGTGTTGTGATATTTCTACGTGTATTTATAAAGATGGTCACACAGTACTCAGTTATGTCACTTCTTTAGTTTACAATGAGTGAAAATGTCACATCCTCTGTTAAGATGCATGTGTGATATTCAGAATAGAATCTTACAGCGGAGATATTTTACAACATTATCCCATTCCCCTGAATTCTTAGGATATATACACTTCACTCTTTAGCGGTCACTAACACATACGAGTAACCATACAGTGCACAACAAATACAATATACTTTTCTATAGTTGGCTTTTAAGGATTAGTTAGAGAACCATTGAAAACAAGCAGGGAGTACTGCCAGACGCCTGTTTCATCCTAGTTTGGGAATCATTGGCAGTGCGCATCCACTGAAAGGGGGTTCGAACCCAGGACCTTTCGGTAACAAGGCAAGCTCGTATAGCATTCAGCCACTGGGACCCGATTCAATGGACCATGATTTATAACTTCTACAACTTAGTGATTTAGCACGATCACCAACCAATGTCATCAGTGGGACATCTATCCTCACACTTTACCGGATGGACCTCACCGGTTACGACTTCTCACTAGAACTCTAGGAAACTCACAATGGGATAGTATCATACAAGTTAAGTCAGTGAATCTAGTCTCTAGACTACTGGTGAGAGTAATGTTTTTGGTAATTATAAATTTCGTCTTGGTTATCTTGTATATTACAACATTAATCATTAACACTTCACTATTTTGTTAATATTATTTCTGGATAACCAAATATTCATAAATAATTTGATTAGTGTATTTCAATTTCATAAAGTAATTTTTCGTGTATACCTTTTGTGATAATTGAAAAATATTTTAAAAAAAGACGCATGAATAATTCATCTACTCATTTTTCATGAGCACACATTTTTATTTTTGTCCATTTTCTTTTCTAAAGCTTTAAACTTTAAAATTAAAAGCTCTAATGATTCTTTAAAATGGAGTGATGAATTATTGAATACTACTTCAAGCCTGTATCGAGAATTATCCGGGAACGTGTGTCGACTGGTGAGTTACTTGTGATTATTATTTATGATGCTTGTTTCACCATCGTTATCATCATTATAAATCTAATAATAATAATAATATTTATAAAATTATATTTGTAAAATCTCAGCGAAATTGAAATTATTAATTCCAAAGTTTCATTCAGCAATCAGGTCCGAACTTCTTCAGGGAAATTAATCGAATTAACATAACAGAGGTTTATATATAAAAGGAACAACTCATGTTTTTTAAATTTTGTCCAATCATGAGTCATGCAACAGTCATCAACATGTATAATAAATAAATAAATAAAATAGTATGTTTACATATAAAAGTACATCTCTTGTTTTAAATTGTTTGTCCTGTCATGTGAATCATGAGTTGTTCCTTTTATATATAAACCTCTGTTATGTTAATTCGATTAATTTCCAGGGGAAGTTCGGACCTGATTGCCGAACGAAACGTTGGAATTAATCATTTCAATTTCGCTGAGATTTTACAAACATAATTTTATAAATGTCTACTTCTCACTCAGAGCTCAATTATTTTGCAACTATCCGGTCAAATCTTGATCACAGTTCATATGAATAATAATAATAATAATAGTAACAATTCGCTTATGCACATCTAAACCTTGGAACAAATCGCAGAGAAACATCTAGTATTGATCTGCTTCGAACTGTTTATTATTAAAAAGACGGTTGCAGCGAAGAAAATCTTTTTTTTCAACGAAGTCATCAACTAGGCTGTACATTCGTGTATTTATGATAAATTGGTGGGAAAGTTCCAGAATAATTTCCGATCAAGGGTCAAATTAGTAAAATTACAATTAGGAATTAAAATGTCATAGTAAACAGGGGGACGGATAAAACTTAAACAAAGTAGCATAATAATTACTGAGACGATTGACATATTGTGAAATTAGGGCTTAGAAATGTAGAAATAACAAAAATAGACAGGATGCTTTTTGTTATTTCTACATTTCTAACCCCTTACTGCACAACATATCAATCGTCTCAGTAATTATGATGCTACTTTGTTTGAGTTTTATCCGTCCCCCTTGTTTATTATGGTATTTTAATTCCCAATTGTAATTTTATTAATCTGACCCTTGATCGGAAATTATTTTGGATTTTTCCCACCCATTTATCATAAGTACACTAATGTACAGCCTAGTTGATGAATTCGTCAAAAAGAAAAAAATCATCACCGCTGCAACCGTCTTTTTGATGTCAAATTGTTTTGAACGCCTAAAGGTGGCTTCAACTGTTTAATCGTTAGGGCTCCTACAAACTTAGGCATATGCCCTTAACATATCGTATTGATAGGTTTAAAAGACTGTATAAATTTTATACCTTGTATCCATAGTATAATAATACAATCAATTAATATTAATAGATATCGCATTCAAGAAGTATGGCTGTTTATTATTTGTAGGGATTTCAATTGACTTAGATTTAACTTAGATGTATGCTGTAAAGATCTTGATGACAGACAACGATGAGCCACCTCTATGTCTGTATGACCACAAAAAGGAAATGTAGTATCATTTTTCAAATGTTTTAAGGGCTTAAACAGATATTAGGGCTTCCTATTCACAGTTATCGGCATCTTAGATGCATAAAATGTCTTTTGACCTTAGTATTCAACCTTTGTCTAGGTATCAAGCTATTACGATCACATGTTATGGACGTAGATTATGTTCACATGTACTGTACATACTTGTATTCTTGTAAATATGCACACGTAGAATTTGTTTGGTTTATATATATATGCATGTGTATATATTTGTACAAGTTAGTGCATACATAATGCTGTGCTTTGTGCTCAAAGCTTTTTGAATAAGTTAATAGAGAGGTTCACCAAGTTAGGCAACAGGACAGTTACTCATAAGATAGGCTGGCGTTTGCGCCATGTATATATATTCAGAACAAAGTAGTTAGACCGAATAATTGTTTTCAATAAATTCGTCTTTAGGCTGTACAATTATATTCATTATAATAAAGGCTTTTGTATTTCCCAATGAATGAAAAACAAAACGATATTGTCTCTATTACCGTTCCGCTATTTAATGCTGCTGCTAATAGCTTCATCAAAGTATCATTAAACCAGAATTTTCAAAATCTCCACATACACATAACAAAGAGTTAAGAGGTGAGACTTAGGTCAAGTTAAAAGGACATATTGAAAGTCAAAATAACAATGAAGACCACTAAACCAAATAACAAAGGCAATAGTACATCTGTTATGGTTTCAAAGCAAAGTTTACTAACTTGATCATCGTTCGTTAGTATGAGGTCATTTTTCGTTGTCAAGTTGGCCAATTGGTAAAGATAACAAAACCAAGTGGAGATTGTTGGATTTGATAAGTGTGTAAAATTATAAAACAGAGTGTGTTTATATAATGACATGGCATTCCGAAAACATGGACCTCAATTGCTGTCATTCCATATAGAGCAGAGACGTCAGATGATATCAGAAGAGTACTCAAAAAGCTCGACATTAGAGTTTTCTTCAAAACATCACACACACTACGAAACAACCTTGTCCGTATAAAAGACAAAATCCCCAAAGATTCTCTATCTAATTGTGTCTATAACACAAAATGCTTCGAATGTGATGCGATGTACATCGGAAGAACATCTCAAGAAATCAGAATCAGAAGAAATGAACACTGTAGAGCATCTGTTCCACCACCGAGAAATCCAGTTAGTGAACTAGAAAAGCTTAAAAAATCATCAGCCATAGATCGTCTACACACTACGCTATAAAATCAGGCCACGAAATTGAAATAATCCAAAATAAGCATTTCAGAAATCAAAGGGAACGTCTAGTATCATCAGAAGCACTTCATAGCAAGTGGCATACCAATTGTCTGAATAGGAATGATGGACTAAAACAGAATTTGACCTGGTTACAACATCCCTCTCCCCCATGAGATGACAAATTCAACACGAATGTGATAAACAATTTCACTATGTAAACACACGCTGTTTTATAATCTTACACACTTATCAAATCCAACAATCTCCACTTGGTTTTGTTATCTTTACCAATTGGCCAACTTGACAACGAAAAATGACCTCATACTAACGAACGATGATCAAGTTAGTAAACTTTGCTTTGAAACCATAACAGATGTACTATTGCCTTTGTTATTTGGTTTAGTGATCTTCATTGTTATTTTGACTTTCAATATGTCCTTTTAACTTGACCTAAGTTTATTTTCTTACCTCTTAACTCTTTGTTATATATATGCTGAGTGGATTTTGTAAATTCTGGTTTAATGATACTTTGATAAAGCTATTAGCATTAAACAGCGAAACGTCAGTAAAAACATCATTATCGTTTTGTTTTTCATTCATTGCGAAATACAAAAATCTTTATTATAATGAATATTAAATACCCAATGCCCAAATTTTTTCAAACTGTTAAAAGTGAACTTGGTTTGGACATATATGTACAATTATAAATCCATTAATTTAAGTATGCAATAGCCAATTAGGGCAAATTAGAATCATATCAGAATGTGTATTGTTGAACAAGTATAAGTCGGGATGGAACACTAGTCAGTTAGTTTTTGAATATGCATGGTCATTGAGAACATGAGATAAAATGCGACGAAATAATTTAATGATGTGTGTGTGTTTGTAGATAAAAAGATACAGCTTTCGAGGGTGAGTGTAATCAGTGGTGTATGAGACAATATGAATACTACGGAAAATAAACAAACGACTGGGGTGGACTAGACATAAGTTCAAGATTGAAAATAACGACAATAACAATGATTATAAAATAATAACGATGATGTGGTGCAAACGCAAGAGTTTATTGGTGAATGATTATCAAATAATAATAATAATAACAATAATAATAATAAATTTAGTGAAGCGAAATGAACCGTATTTTGTAAATACGATAACAAGTTAGAAAAGCACTACCTAAACCTATGGCAATAGGGATCATAAGAAAGAGGCGTAAACAGCAAAGAAAATTTTCTTTTCGACGATTCATTTTCATAATCTGCTGTACAATCGTAATTATATTTAACAAAGAAATCTTTAGACCAATCAGATACTGGTAAACTTTGTCCTCGAAAAATGTATTACATAATGTAAGGTGTAAGAAGGGATGACTAAGTTAGAAAAGAGGCAGAAGTTGGCATGACGTAACAAGTATGATATAATGACTAATCAATAAGCTCGTGTAGAATGGATGGGAACTAGTGGAAAGGCAATAAAGTATTTTCTTATATAAAATCTGTATGAAAAAGCAGTGTTATTAATAAACACTAATGGAATGGTTATAAAACATGGATGATGGGAATAATAACGACAATAAAATAATAGCAGTAATAGCAATGATAATAATTAACCTACATAATAAAAAGAAGAAGCAAAATTATAGCAAGAACTTTACTGGTCACGGTAGGACGAGTGAATGTATGTATCGCTTTTGAATACAGAGGTCCGGTTTCAGATCTCGAATAGCCAATGCTTCAGCTATGTACAGATGGCGCATGCGAAGTCCCTTTGTACGATATTGAGGGACTCTGTATAGCACTGTGAAACATTCATGCCGGGGTGCTCGATTTCTGGAGATGACAAGGTGTTCGAGGATGGGGCTGCTACTATTCTTATTTTCTCCTCTGACTAGTCAGACAAGCTGGAAAATTCGTTCCACAATACGTTTACGAACTTAACGTTTAGTACGGCCGATATACTTCGCTCCACACGAGCAGGTGAACTGATAAATACACACTGAGGTGGCCAAAAGCGGTATCCTATCCTTAACGTTAGAATGGATTAACTGTCTGCTGGAGAATGTGATACGTAAGGTGGGGTTTGTCAATGAAACAAAGGAATAGAAAAAGAAATGGAAATTGTGGTAGGAATTTAAAATACTAATGTTTATGGAGGATTTGTTGGTCTTATTTTAGGCCAAGGTAAACATACCGGTTGAACATACTTCTGTATATACAGATTTGGTCTCCTGGTATTGATTTCAACCGCTTCAGCTACTGATAGGAGAAGTAGTCGAGCTCCTCTAGATGGATTAATAGGAATGCGGTATATAACCGAAAACGCCTGGTCGAGTTTTATTGAATGTCCAGTATCTACTAAGTTGACTAAGACTGCACTATTTACGCATTTTGCTTACCCCCTTGCTCAACCATACAGGTACATGTTCACGTGCGAACATGGATAAAGCCCTCTGAGTACGGCCAATGTAACTAGCTCCACATGAGCAGTTGAATTCATAGATACACATTGATGATATCATCTTTGGTAATTTGTATTTGATTCCCTATGTGAGTACTGGTTTAGTTGAGAAGTTGAATACCAGCTTAGCTACAGGAAATGTCCTCTCTACTGCTCTGTTAAGTCGACATTTTAGAATATCAGCTGCAATTTCCCCTTTGTAACTTAAGATATAAAGGTTTCTTATCAGCAGAAACCACCTTTACCCTATCTCTAGGTATTGACATATACTTTTTTAGGCAGTTCTCTGGATATCCGTTTTCTTGCAGTGTAAGTTTCAGTTTGCCCATTTCTTTCTTAATGCATTCCTCTGAACATATGCGTTTTATTGTATAGCTAAGACATTTAGCTAAGTTTCTTTTGTATTGAATCGGTGTGAAGCTATGAAAATGGGTGTACCGACCTATCTTCAACTTTTTCCACCATACACTTCTGATATGATTCTAATTTGTCCTAACTGGCTATTGTATACTTAAATTAATGGATTTATAATTGTAGAGCCTAAAGGCGAATTTATTGAAAACAATTGTTCACTCTAATTACTTTGTTCTGTATTTTAAATATATATTCCTCAAAACATTAGATGTTATACCATGCTTATATTTTTAAATGGTATTTGTAGCTTTCAGAAATTATGGAGTTCATTCTGCAATCACACTTGGTCATTGAATGTAGTAGTATAACATTCAAACAAGGCTCCATTGATGTGAATACTGTTCTAATTTTAACATTCAACGAAACACTAAATGGCACGACCTTACAATATTCACCAAGTTTATTAAATGAATCAATTATCGTTACGGGAATGAACGAATATATCAAAAATCAGAGTGAAAATAATACTTTTGGAATCTATATCGATCCAAACTCGACTATTTCAGTGCAATGTAAGCTACTTTTGAATATTTTTGAATGACAGTAACACCTAAAGAATTTAATTTTTATGTTAGCTGATGGCATCTATGATTTATTCAGCTGAAATTTTATGAATTCTTCTAGATTTCAAACAGTAAACTCTGTTTTTTTGACTACCGTCTGTTTCGCATAACATTTTTTTTCTGTGCACATCGGTTTTGAAGACAACATGTTACCTGGTAGGCACGCTCCATGTTATAAATGTTATCAGAAAGACCCTTAAAACTAGCTTGGAGTCGATTGGGAAGCCTAAATCCATTAAAAGTGCGTTCCGAAGTCTCTTATAAAGACATTTCATACATCTGTTTTGAAAATTACATTCTCAAATAGACAAGTGGCACAGTGGTCAGGACTCTCGCCAACCATGCACATGGTCCGGAGTTAGATCCCCTGCTGACGCACACCTGATATCTATGGTGGGCCTGCAAAATTTGGGCTACCGATATCGCATGCTGAAAATTCCACACTTGTACCAAAAAATACGGTGTGGAATCAAGCTGTAATAAAAAAAAATCAAAAAAAAGTGGTCCACTCATTTAATATGGGCAGAATAACGTTCTTATCTACCGTATTATGAACTTACCAGAATAAGTGTTCCTGAAGAGCAAAATATATTGGTCGTATAAGGAGTCATGTCTGTAGTGTGCATTTTAGAACACTGTTCAGTTCGACTAGCTCGAAAAGAGAAAAATAATATCCGTAACCATAGTCTAGAGCACCTCGTAAACTCCGGGAATCGAATGCCGTATGACTGGTTCACAGTGATTTACAGAATCTTACAGTATTGCGACTGACTATTTTGATCTGAAAACTTGATCCCTGTGTTCAAAAACTATACGTTCATTCGTTCACTTTATCATGATCAGTGCAATATTCTGTCTAGATTTTGATGCATTTTGATATTCTGTTGTCACATGTTTTGCCTTTATTGATAACTGTTCATTTCTCATATGAGTTTCACTGGAACATTTTGCAGTTTTTCCCATTTCTAAGCCCGTTTTTTACATTCAGGTTGATTAGGTTATTTATACATCTACTCAGTAATACAATTCCTACGTGCTCGGTCCCTTCCAAGTTACACATAAAACATTTACTGGAATAAAATGACCAGTATTTGAGTGTATTTAAGAATTTTCTGTTAAGTATAAATACGACTGAACAGCTTCTGGAAATGATTGATTGAAAAGGATTTTCTCTTCGTTGTTCCGCCTTATTTTTATGACTCAGTATGGGAATTTTCAGTTCATAATTAACACTAATCTGGGCTTATATTTTCATCATTCTTGAATACCAACACTGTAGATTTTGGTAGCTTCGATTGCTTGCGTTATCGCAGAGAATAAGGAGATCTCTACACTGATTAGAATAACGGTTTATATCATTTTAAACTTTGTGCAGTGTTTCGCCTTGATCACTTCTGGGTCACACTTTATTTTGCTTTTACTCTGATTCATATGAAGTCATAGACCTTCAAAAGCGTTGACAGAGAAATAATTTGGAAACTGCTTTAACACTATGGAGTGCCCCAAATCTTCATTCATATCATTCAACAGCTATATGGCAATGGCACGTGTCAGGTGATCAACAACGGAAAACTCAGCGAGGCGTTCGAAGCGAATATAGAGTAAAACAAGCTGGCTGCCTGTTATCACAGACGATGATACTGCTAATTGTGGTGGACTGGATTGTGTGGCACACCGAACGTGGGGAGTAAGAAAACAGGAGTACGCTGACCACCAAAAAGAAAACTTCAGAAGATCTGGATTTCGCATGTGGACGACTTATGTCTAATGTCACACAAACTCAAAGACCCACAGGCGAAAACCAACAAATTGGCGGAAAAGGCAGGCAGAGAAGACAAGACTTCAAGTGAACATAGAGAAGATGCAGGTAATGAAGATAACCAACCAACCAACAACAACAACCAGCACCAATCACCATCAAAGGAAGAGATTTGATAGAGGTTACTTCCTTCACTTATCTAGGCAGCACAGTTTCAGTTGCAGGTGGTGGCATGGATGAGGATGTCAAAACCAGTCAGGATGGGAAAGGCAAGAGAGACATTCATTACTGTGAAATCAGCATGGAAATCTTCTGCACTCAGCGTAGAGGACAGGGTTCAGATTTTCAACGCCAATGTTAAATCATTTTTTCTATATGGGTCAGAAAATTAGCACGTTATGAATGGCATTTCCAACAGGCTATTGCAGACTTTTATCATAGAGATCGTGTGAGCAGGAGATGAGAGACTTTAGACAGTCGTAAGGCCAGCTAAAGAGGACCTCAGATATTAGGACAAATTGGAGATGTGTTTCTAAAGCCTTATGCTACACTTGGAATCTAAGGTAACAATAATAATGACCTTATCAGCGTATACCTGTCTTCTGACTCCCCACGTACGGTGTGCCACATAATTCAGTCCACCACAATTAGGAATATCATAGTCGGTGATAATAAGCAGCTAGCTTGTTTTATTGTGTATTCGCTTCGAACGCCTCGCTGTGTTTTTCGTTAAGGGTATGTGCAAAGCACGTCTGTGGTGAGAGCTGGCTGCTAGGCAAAGTTGGTAGACAGTAATTGACGTCAATGTTTATGTCCCCAATATTGGTGGTGAGAAAATGAGAACAAAGGCTTTGCGTAGACGGATACAGTTAGCATATGGATGATCTGACACAGCCACAAAAAGATACAAGGTTAACTTTCTGTGAGAAACAAGCAATCAAAAGACTGTATTTTCTACTAACAATAATCTACAATAATGTACATTAAAATCTATAAATATGTGTTAATTTTCCTTAATAAACGATCTGTTGCTTGGCCCTTGTCTTCTGTTGTTACACGTCTACCATAATTTAGAATTACTATTTTGCACATACCTTCGGTATTGGGTTAACTTTGTCTTCTGTAGTGCTTTTCTTTGCCTTCCTTTTGCCTTTACCATGTTGTTTCACAAGTATCGTTCATTTCGTCTCTTTTTGCCACTAAATTCATCTCTTCTCTATTTGATATTCTTGTACGTGGTATATATATATATGTATATATCGAGATACTTCTTAAAGATCTTCTCAACAGACATGTCACAGGTTCAGTACGGGTTCACATCATCAGTCCGATTTTAAGTGGATCACAGAATGTACGCGTTACTTTGAATACATGAAGAACAATAAATTCTGTTCTAAAAATTTATCGATAATCATTCTTTTCTATCACGCCTAGCACCAGTGTCTCATGTTTTCTTCTTATTATTTTAATTTTAACTTGTGTCGTACAGTTAACTGCTTACGCAAAGGTTAACTAACTTTATTTAATACTACTTTTTAATTCTTAACGAATATGGTTTTCTAATGCGTATGGCAAGTGTTACAAATGATACTATTATTATATCGATATGCTAAATAGATTTTGATTTGGTGGTTAAACGGTATCATGCTAACCTTAAAACCATTGAACGGACTGATCTTTCAGGGATTCTCTAGGTGACTTATATTCATGATAAAATTCTTAGTTCAATGGAGTTCATGTTGAAGTTTAACTTAATGAAGAAGACAAAATGGAAAGTGTTTTTGATTTCCAGGAATTATCTGCAATTGAAATCAAAACAGGCTTCATATCTAGTGATGCGTTATTAGACACATATGACTGCAGTGGATTGGATCTGAAATAGTTTACCTATCAACAGCACTAGTTCATATCACGGTTTACTGACTTCTACTCACAGGAAACTGTAACACACACCAATACCCACTAAACAGCTGTTCATCATCAGAACACATTCCAAAGTGGCTGCAACAACAAATGAAATCGCCAGACACAATTGAACCCGGAAATAGATGTCCAACATCATCTATAGCCTTTAGACCGATATATAAAACAAGGTTGGGTCACATACTTAAATTCATTGAAGCCTTACCCATAAAAAGACTTAAACCTGTCATATGTGTCCAAAAATGATTTGTTATCATCTTAAACCTGCCTTGGTAATCTAATTTAGAACCAAGGACCAATTTGCTTCATAATATTTTCAACCCCTTCTTTGCCTTGTTTTTTCTCCTTTTATCTTTCTTACCCACACCTTTCGCATCTCCCTACCCATTATTTGTGACTTTGACCTGTATACAATCTGACCTGTATTGTAATTATTCATGCCTTCTTGCATTATATAAAAACTGTGTATGACAAGTACGTGTGTGATCAGAATGTCGGAAATGTGTTGCACCAATACATCAGACGTTTCAGATAAACTACGTCTTCTTATTGTGTTGTCGATATTATGAATAGTCCTTTTCATCTATATGTAAAACTATAATGTGAATAATTCGGACATAAACTCTTCGGAAGACAACAAATCTTTGGCTTAAAGATAATATATGAGGTGATTAGGTGTCTAATAAATTCCAGTTATTATATCTATGATTGCATCCTTGTTCTAAGTTACGTTTTTATACTGTCAATGATTAGGATATAACCAGTTTGATGAACTTATATACAGTCACAGTTGTCATCGATGTATACAGTATAGCAGAGATTGTGTAAACAAGCTATCCAAAACTACTATACGTGAATCACATTTTTGTGGAAATTAAGAGAACTGTTAATTGCATCAGACATATTATTCTCAGTATTTCAAAACATTTTGATGCATGGGTTTTACTGAACAGAGTCTTTCTTGAGGTAGTAATTAATTTTTTGCTTGTATTCATTCACTTTTATGATTAATCTGACAGCCTATTTCCCTTTTTTTAGTGTTAACAGGAAGCACTGAATCGACAGTTGATACTACTACATCATGTACAATGAGTGAAGATAACTTCAGTCTATCAACAGGAACATCTGAAAATATTCCTTTAAACATAACAGATATGTCAACTATGGGTGGTGAACAAACGTCTGAAGTAATGGAAAATGTTACTGTCTCAGAGTCGATAAGCAGTTCACCTGACTATTCATTTTCCAGTGGATATACTTCAAATATAGGTAAGTCAATATTTAGTGATATTAATATGATTTTTATTCAATGAATAGCTAAGTAAATTAATAGTTTAATTAGCCAATAAATACAGCCATCCAAAGGATAGGTATTAGAAGGTACGAAACAACACTTAAACTTTGAATTAAAAGTTTAAAAACTAAGAAAAAGATAAAATATAATATTTCTGGTTCTAAACTTCACTTGGTATATTATAGTGCCTAATTACTCCAGAAACTTTTATTGCCATACAAATAAGTTACATAAATATATAATGATTTAAGCTAAAAAATAAGTCATGGTTAGCTCATGACTTGTGGTTTCTGCTTAGATGACACTAAAGGTTCTGTTAGGAAGATACTGTAGTCAGTCGTTCGACAAAAACGATTATTTATCATTGTTTTGTCTGCAAAGTAAGATCTAGCTGGAATTAAAGAATCAGAAAACACTCGACACATTTAGTCAATGACATGTTCATGAAACAATTAATAAGACATTGGACACTGAAAGAAATATATATGTATGAAGTTAACTGAAGAGAAGATATATAATTGTGCAAAACATAAAGTTCTTATTGGATTAGACACTAGGCCTTAATAAATCACCTATTTGGAAGCATTCAAATTATTTCTGATTTTAAGTTATAGGTTAGTATTCCACCCCACCCCACAGTGACCAATCAATACATCCATTACACTAATTGATGACGCGAGTTTAGGCATGTAGGGAGGCATCATTCCTTTACAGGCAGTAAACACGCTTTGCTTATGTCTCCTAATAAGTTCAATTTGCACGTCCATGATATTCTTTGACTACTTATAGTACAGATGGTTGAACAACTTGTATTTTCGACACTGTGTTGACAGTTCACAATAATTAGGAGTTTGATTTTTTAGCAATCATAAAATATGATTACGCTTGATTTAAGGTTAGGATACTTTCTTCTTTACTTCTTGAGTTCCTAGTGGAATATAAGGTTTCATGCCTGAAGCCTTCTGTAGCCTTCGTGGTGTTTATACACGAAGGGTTTTACTGGTTTCACGCCTAGCATACTCACTTTTCAAGGCTTACTCTCAACAAATAAAATTAAATAGAGTTTAGGCGTGTATCCCCTGGGAAATCGAACCACCGACTATATATGTGGATGGTGATCATTCTACCGCTGAACCACAGGCACAATATTTATTCATTTGATCTTTCTATCACATTTATATCACCTAAATATTAAGACTAGATCGCTATAATTTTGTAATTTCCTTAAACTACAAACAAAATAATTAGCAGAAGAATCGGAAAGCAGTTAAGGCGTAAGGAAAATCAGTAAATCTTAACAGTTCATAATTTTTACACTTTCATATTGACCACGTAATCTAATAGAAGTCAAATGTCACTTTTAACTGCTGGTATTTGTTTTATGTAAAGCTTTGTATTTGTTTCTTTTATCTTCTATAATTCAAATGAGTTTGTTTGTTTTTTTAAGAATTATTTATCGGTCATACAAGAATTTTAATTTCAACTCTGATAGTGCTGATTAATTAAAAACTGTTGGGATCTAAGTCTTAGTAACAGTTAGTCGAAATTACTTGTAAGCATATAAATGCCCTATGATTAATATTTCTGATTCATAAACATGACAATGTTCATTAAGGTTGAATGATTACTCACAAGGCCTACGTAAGAAACACGACTGTAAATATTTCAGCGAATATAGGCAGTTAAGACTGGTAAAAATTGTGTCTTTATACATTACTAGAATAAAGTGACATGAATTAGGTAGTGAGAAGAAAGACAAGAATGCTTTACATTTAAGCAAATGTTTGAAATGTTACGAGAAAATATATATATATCCAAAGCTGTTGTAGAATAATTTCATAATTCCCATTGTAGCACTAAGAACACAATATTCTGTGAAGAGACTCTTTTCAACGAATTTATCATCAAGCTGTACAATCGTATATATATGGTTTTTTTAATAAATCATATCCGGTGAGGGAATTAGGTCAAAGGTGTGAATACATGAAATAATAATAGTAGTATGAAATGCAATTAAAATATTTGTGATTATAATCATAGTTAAATGTCAAGTGGCAAAATAATTAATGTCATATATAGAATAATACATGAGGTGTATAGATGTTGGAAAGGGGTGAATAATTATAGGATTAGTAGGTGAATATAAAATGTTACATAATATGATGTGAAATTTGATAAGATAAAATTCAATATTGTAAAAAACAAAAATATAAAAATTAATAATTTTGGGTTTACAATGACAAGTGGGACAAGTGGAAACAATTCAGAGTGAGAGTAGTAATAATAATGGTAGTAATGAGGGAAAGGTACACAGATTAACCAAATAAACAAAATAAATAAATGTCTATCCCTCTACGGCCAAGGCAGAAGTAGGGATTGTACATACTTCTTTTGTACACAAAGGTCTGGCTTAAAGTTTTGAATGACCAAGGCCTCAGCTGTCTTTAGAAGTCTGCAACGAGGAAAACACGGGAAGTCAGAATGGATTCTGTATATGATCTTTAAGTAATGGTCAGGGTTGACAGAGTGACACAAGTCGATCAGGTGTTCCAGAATAGAGCCTCGCACACACTTTCTTTCTCCCTTGTAAAACTATGCTATAATATGTTCTCGTATACGCTTTCCACACATAGCCAGACCTTTGTGTACAAAAGAAGTATGTACAATCCCTAATTCTGCCTTGGCCGTAGAGGGATAGACATTTATTTATTTTGTTTATTTGGTTAATCTGTGTACCTTTCCCTCATTACTACCATTATTATTACTACTCTCACTCTGAATTGTTTCCACTTGTCCCACTTGTCATTGTAAACCCAAAATTATTAATTTTTATATTTTTGTTTTTTACAATATTGAATTTTATCTTATCAAATTTCACATCATATTATGTAACATTTTATATTCACCTACTCATCCTATAATTATTCACCCCTTTCCAACATCTATACACCTCATGTATTATTCTATATGTGACATTAATTATTTTGCCACTTGACATTTAACTATGATTATAATCACAAATATTTTAATTGCATTTCATACTACTATTATTATTTCATGTATTCACACCTTTGACCTAATTCCCTCACCGGATATGATTTATTAAAAAAACCATATATATACGATTGTACAGCTTGATGATAAATTCGTTGAAAAGAGTCTCTTCACTGAATATTGTGTTCTTAATGTTGTAGAATAGTCCGGTATAAAACTATTAAATCACTATCCGAGTAGAAGGGAAGAATTAGACTTATTTCGAAATAGATAAAAGTGTGAAATTGAATAGAGGAATTCTATGCGTAAAATCGGTAAAATACACCACTGTAAGCATAATGAAACAGTGATAAAGAAAGTAAGAAAGAAAGAAACACAGGAGGAGAGGAAAATAGTATAAAACTTAGAGTGAAATATTTTTATCTAACATGAAACTGCCAAACAAAATACCAGCAGACAACAGAAGAAGTTCAAATAAATAAGCGAAAGCCAATAAGAGAAAACATTGAAAGGTGAATAAACAAAGGACAGAAACTCCAAAACAAATAGGGACATGTATATATATAGAAATAGATGGAATTGTAAAAAATAACTACAAAACGTATATAGTTAAAAAAATTAAAAAAAAATATTCAAAAATATTTAAAGGGAAAAGAAATGAAAAGAGAAAACCAAAAAACGAAGAGCCAGAAAACAACAAAAGCAACTCTGAACATAACGAAGAGAGTATGAAAAAGAAAACAACTAATAACGAAGAAACAAACAAGAAGAAGCGAGTGAAACAAAAAAGACAAGATATAACCATGTATGAAAATAAAAGAGACACAAGAAATATTGATGCTAATAGCGCAAGCATAAACGAAAATGAGAACAATATCCAAATATATACAGATGATGAAAACAACACAGAAACCACAACCACAACCACCGATCAACAAACCACCGCCGACACTCACACCGACACCCACACTGACACTGACCAATCCGATATCGCCGTCACATCCACCATCACCACGATCGAAACAACGACAACTACCACTGCCTCCCACACCTCAGAACTGTCGACATCCACTGTGACAAGTGACGACAGAACGACGAACACACCACTGACCACTGTCATCATCTCCACACCAACAACCGACACATCCTATGCACCAACAGACATCACCTCGACAACCACAACCACAACCACAAACACAACCACAACCACAACCACAACCACTAGCGAAACCACAAGCGAAACCACAAGCGAAGCCACATGGACACCGGAAACAACAACTTCCGTCAGCTCAGACACACCAGACAGCTATCCGTCACAGGACACAACTCACATTCCCACCTCACAATCCACAATAGCCTCGAGCACAGACATGTCGACAACCAGCTCGCCGACTTCACTCGCCACCGACACTGCAGTGACAGACACTCAATCTGCCAGCACCACTGACCAGCTCATCCACACACAGTCGACCTCCCACATCGCCGCCACCACGACGACAGACACTGCTCAGTCTGAGTCGGCCACTCCCAGTGTGACTGTCAGTGCAACCGACACAACCGACACATCGCACACAGACTCATCTCATAGCACCACGGAAACAACCACCACGATCATCACCGCCAGCGACATCGCGACTCCCGCGTCCACTGATATCACAGATGCTCACGCCGCCAACACCACCACCACCATCACCACCACCACCGAAACCACAACCACAACCACAACCACAACCACCGATCAACAAACCACCGCCGACACTCACACCGACACCCACACTGACACTGACCAATCCGATATCGCCGTCACATCCACCATCACCACGATCGACACAACGACAACTACCACTGCCTCCGACACCTCAGAACTGTCGACATCCACTGTGACAAGTGACGACAGAACGACGAACACACCACTGACCACTGTCATCATCTCCACACCAACAACCGACACATCCTATGCACCAACAGACATCACCTCGAC